TGTGATGATGGTGTTGGTGCTGGTGGTCGTGCTGGCGTTGATTGTTCGGGAGTTGCTGTTGCCGCTGGCTTCGCTGGTGGTGGATGATGTTGCGATGGCATCGCCGGAATTGGATGTGGTGGTTGTGATGGTGTTGGTGTCGGCGGTTTTGCAGGTGCTGTTGTTGCGATGGTTGGCGTTGCTGCTTTTGCTGGTTGTGTGGGTGTTGACATGGTGGTTGTTGGTGCTGCTATTGCAGGCTCACCAAGTTTCGCCGGCATGGCCTTGATCGGAGTCGTTGCTTTGGCTGTGTCTGATTCTGTTGTTGCTGTCATCACTGTTGCCTGTGGTGTTAGATATGTTGGAACTGCTGCTACAGTCGCTTCAGGTGGTGGTGCTGGTGGAAATTCTGTGCTCTCAGTGGGTGTTGGCATCGATGGTTGAGCTGGTTCTGCTGGTGGTGGTTCTGCTTTTGGTATTGGTGATGGTGGTGCAGGTGTTGGTGTTGGTCTTGGTGCTGGAGGTGGTTCTGATGATGGTTGTCCTGTCTTTGGCAATGGTGGTGGTGATGCAGGTGATGGGGTTGTTGATGGTGATACTGGAGATGGTTGTCCAGTTCGTGTTGCACTCCTGGCTGGGGCTTCTGTGGATGATCTGGCCGGTGCTTCTGCTGGGGTTTCGGGGACATCTGCATACGGATTATCACTAGGGGCTACGCCAATGGGAACATCTGGAGTTTCTTGGTACTGACGATTCATGTGGCTATATAACCCATAGACTGTTGGGGGTAAACCTCCACCTCTCCTGGGAATGCTCTGGAATGCGTCGGTCCTAAACACAAGATGTCCGCTGGGAGCCCTCTCTAGTGGAATATGTATCGCGTCCGAACCCCAGCTAATGGTATAGCTACCCGTGGCCGTGAGGGTGAGCATTTCCCTGCCAGGTGCCATTTCCAGCACGGCGTTGTGATTGCTCATGCTCCTCAAGCCAAGTAGTGCCGGGAGGTCACGGCCCTCCCCTTCTACCATGGGGGTTTCGAAGTTGAATGATACAGATTCGCCCCTAACCAAATGACCTTCACCTTCTTCCGGTTGAGAGCGGGGGTGGATGATGTTGGGTATTGCTATCGGCAATGTGGCAACATGCGTACAGCTTTGAGTACCCTGTCCTACTCCCCTGACGGCCATTGGATTGGTCATGGACTTACGCGTCGACCTCAAGCCCGCATTCCGCGCGGCTGTGGCTTGGCGTTCAGCCCATTGCTGACCTGCCAGATTGGTCCATGCCCCTGGATCAACTACAATTGATTGATGACCAGGCACTTGGGTGGATGAATGGTATGTGGATGCGGCTCCAGTTGCCTCTGCTGTCTCAGGCCACCATGGAAAAGTGGGTGTCCCGTGTGGTGTCCTAAACTCATCATGTTGATCTGCTCTTGGAGATGTGGGTGCAATGTAGCGGTAGTGTGCAACTACCTGTCCCCCACCGCGGCAGCATGGGCATGTTGGATTTTCTTCCCTCAAAAGAACTTCAGTCCAACAATTTTCATGGAAGGTATGCCTGCAGGTCAATCGCACCAGTTGTTCTCCTGCAATATATTCTTCCAAACAAATGCTGCAGCGGTGTTCATCCCCTAAGTATTCAACATTGGGTTGTCCGACATTTGGAGTTACCATGGGTTCTGTGGGATTATTCGAGGGTGTTACTGTGGGGGCCGGATTCACCTCACTCCTCGAACCTTCCGATTCACGAGTCCTCATCTCCTGCAGTGTCATCATCGTCCGGTGCTGATGATGAAGAGCACGTACCTGCGGATGATTGAATGCTGGCTCACTGACCCTTTCTGATACTCTAGAAGCTATTGGGATCTCACGCAACTGGTTTGCTTGATGAAATTCCCCCACAACTTGACTACGGATCGTGTCAAGTGTGCTGATAGCGTTCTCTGAGACAATCGGATGATAGGTCGGTGCACGCACTTCCGAGGCAGTCCCCTGCAAGAAATTAAACTCGGGCATCAGTGCCCATTCTGGCAACTCCGGGGCCGGATGTTGTAGGATCACCGTTGGGATCTCCCCTGTTCCCACGATCAGTGGGTGTTGGGACACTCCGTGCCGCTGGACCGGTGGTGGTTGCATTGGTGGTGGTTGCGTGGCTTGGGCAACATATGGTTCTTGGATATTAGTCGATTCTGCAACAGGTTGCTGTAAAAATGGTTCGCTGGTTACATTTCTGCCCAGTGGATTAGTGGGGTTATTCTGGGGAAGATTATTCATTGGATTAGTGGCTAGTGGGGTGTTATGGGTAAATTGGTTCATCATTGGCGGTCCGAAGGATCGTGGTTCTGTGGTCGGATGCATCAGGCCATTCAGGCCATTGAAGACACTCTGCATGTACAAGGATTGATCGGCCATATCCACTGCCCGGGTCGTGCGCGGCAATGGTGGCATTGGATTCACAATCCCCCCAATGACCTGTCTCCCAGTCCTGCTCTCGGTGTACCGCCTCCAAGGATCACTATTGGTCCACGGGTCCTGAGGTGCTGCTGGTAATGTGGATGCATTGGATGGGGGTCCACCAGAAACTGTCGACCAATGATCAGTTCCGGATTCTTGTCCAACATTAGCATCTACTTCATTGACCATGAGGACCGTGGTTGATGTGATTACACCTGGGGGAATCTGGTCGGCGGTGTCCAAGTCTACGAACAAGTTCTGAGACGAGTCATTGGCTGCAGCCCGTCTTGGGCACTTGGCAACCAGATGATCTTCCGAACCACATTCGTGGCATCTCATCTTACGTCCATCCGGGCCTCTTGGATTGCCCTTTCTGCCCTTACCCTTGCCACTCCCTGCCCCTTTCTTTCCACCTTTTGCCCTAAAGGCAGGGAAAATTTCCATGAGCTGGGATTCATTGAGTTCGGACAAATAAGATGAAGTATTGATGATCTTGCCTTTGGGTTTTCCATGTTTTGATTTACCACCCTTTCCACCTTTGTAGATGGCTCTGCGGGCAAACCTCCGAGCTTTTCGGGTCGGCTTGCCCATGAATGACCTCCAGCGTGCCTTAGCACGAGAATAGGCCCAGTAGAGCTCGGCAGCCTGCTCATTGGCCGTGGCACCCTCAGCAGCTGGCCAGGCTTCTTCGCCATAGTCGCTGCTGGTGTCAGTGTCTGTGCCACTGTCACCCTGACCCTCTGACAAATACACGTATGGATCTTGCGGCTGTGTATAAGTGGGGTATGCTTCGGATGGATGCCATTGGGATTGCCAAGAACTCTGGTCATGCCATGAACTACTGGGGTGGTCATTCTGAGATGTGAACACATTTTCATTCCATGAGTGCTCGTCCTGAATATGGTAACTGTGTGTTGGATGTTGTCTACCCCGCAACATGTTGGACATATTTCCTGGTGCATTTTCAATGATCCTACCCATACGTCTGATGGAGTCTTTCAACCCTGTGAATTGCTGCTCATCAGCAGGGAGAGCACCACCGAGTGGCTGTAGAAGTTGGATCAATTGAGAATCCGAGACACCTACGGCACGGATCAGCAACCAAGAAAGACCAGCATAGCTCAGGGCGAGCCCACCTGTCTCTGCCGCACGCATGCGGGTAGTATCAAACCTAGTCAGCAGCATGTCGATCCTTTCATTGGATTCCCTTCCAAATGACAACAGATCTCCTACTGCCCCTAGCCGGACTTCCTCACCGAGCCTGGCAAATCGGGTGCTAAGTTGATACATCAAAAACGTTAGTGGGTCGGTTTGGGTACCATTTACGGTCCCCCCTGTCAGAATGGTCTGCGGCGGAAGTGTTCTGCTGAATTCCCTGGCTGATCCCTGCAGTTGAGAAATCACACTAGCCGCCTTTCGAGATGCATCCCCATCGGTAGCAATGCTCCAAATCAAGATGTCCCTAGACCAAGTACTGAAGCTATACTGATGCTCCATTTCTGGGCTCCATGCGGGGGGCAATCTTGGATGGTTACTCCTTCCTGGCACCATGCAAGCCACTAATGCACATGTGCTAAGACCGCCTCCAGCGGCTAGCAATAGTGTCGAATCCGAGAGCGATCTACCATCACGGTGACCAGCGGTCATCGAACCCGAATTGACATGGGCTTCAGGAGACTTCACCTTCCGATTGCCTGCTGTGGATCCGGTCATGCATTGGTTCCTGGATCTAATGGCTGCATCTTTCCCATAGACCATCTCACAGAGTTCCTTGTGACGAGACTTCAGATGTTTCAGCTTAGAGTCGTACATGTTTAGCATTCTTTCAAACACTAATCTCTGCTGCCGTCTGAGTCGCCTACGCAAAAGCTCTGCCCTACGCTGATCCCGAGGGTTCGTTTTGAACTTCCTCCTTGAGTGGTGCAGCCGCACCAGGGTCGAATTCAGCTCCTGCCTCCACTGATCCCCATTCACCAGACTGGGCTTGTACTCGCCTTCGGGCCTGGCCTGTACTGGGGCTTTGCGACCATTGCTCGCTGCATACCAGTGTGTAGTGACACTGATCGAGCCTGCCCCAACCGTACTGGACTGGATCACAAGAGCGCTGGTATTGCGACTCTTGATCACCAGCCCAGTACTGGCTGAGACAGACCCCACCAGTGCCACTACTAACACGGCACACAACTTCAGCACGGCGGTGAACATGATGACAATCAATGGAGTAAGGATGAAAAGAAATGAAAACAGTCGAGTCGACCCTTAGGGTATAGCAGATACCTTAAATGGGGGTTACTGCCGGGGTTCCCGGCTCCGCTACCAACTCGAAAAATAGAGGAACTAAAGTGACAAAGAAGTACTGTTTCCGCAAATGTCTGTTTTCCTCTGTCCGCTTGTGACGAAGTCTTGTGTTTACCTAGGTCGAGCTCTAGAGCCAGAACAGTTACATGGACAACAATGTACCTGAGGCATGGTAGATCATGTACCTTTCAAGTACCATCGGATTTTGTATCCAATCGGTATCCAATTCCTTCACTGTCATGACATCCATTCACATCCAGTTGCCGCCTCAAGGCTAAAGGTCGTTCCTTCAATGAAGCCTTGAACTCATCACCTCAGAAAACTTTGCTGAATCGCTATGCCGAGGCCGTAGGATGTGTAGGATCTGTAGGCACTTTAAATGATTTGGGGTAGCCGAGAAGGAACAGATATAGGATGATATTGGATGACATTGGATGATATTGGATGACATTGGATGACATTGGATGACATTGGATGATTTTGGATGACATTGGATGACATTGGATGATCTTGCATGACATTGGATGACATTGGATGACATTGGATGATCTTGGATCACATTGGATATCTTGGACGACATTGGATGACATTGGATGACATTGGATGACATTGGATGATATTGGATGACATTGGATGACATTGGATGACATTGGATGATTTTGGATGACATTGGATGACATTGGATGATCTTGGATGACATTGGATGACATTGGATGACATTGGATGACATTGGATGATCTTGGATCACATTGGATATCTTGGATGACATTGGATGACATTGGATGACATTGGATGATATTGGATGGCATTGGATGATTTTGGATGACATTGGATGATTTTGGATGACATTGGATGATTTTGGATGACGTTGGATGATCTTGGATCACATTGGATGATTTTGGATGACACTGGATGATATTGGATGACATTGGATGATGGGAGAGGGTTGAGGTTGCCCGGAAGACCTAGGAACCTTGAGTCTCTCTCTGATAGATATATGCATATTTTTTCGTTCTAGTTCTAGCATAGAGATGGGGGGTGGGGGGATGTTAACGTTCTTTGCATTGCGCCATCCGTTGAAGGTGTTGTTGCGTTGAAGCTGTTCTTACGTCGAAGATGTTGTTACGTTGACGATGTTGTTTCGTTGAATATGTTGTTACGTTGAAGATGTTGTTATGTTGAAGATGCTGTTACGTTCAAGATGTTGTTCCGAAGTTGTTCTTACGTTGAAGATGTTGTTACGTTGAAGTTGTTCTCACGTCGAAGTTGTTCTTACGTCGAAGATGTTGTTACGTTGACGATGTTGTTTCGTTGACGAAATGCAAAGCTCCAGGACCCGAAAGCTTCGAAGAAACAGTACATCACATTGCCAAGAAAGTGGATCCCAAACGTCACGTCGCTGCTGCAGACGGCTCTCCGAGCTTGCAAAAAGCAGCAACGTCTCTTGGAGTTGCATCGGCTGAAGGATTAAGTACCATTTCAAAACGAAATTTAGATGCAGAAACCAGTAACTTGTTGCAGCGTTTGGCCAAAAGAAAAAAAAACAACGCTGTGAAAGAACAGAGACAATGTCGCCGAAAGTTGCAGATTGGTAAAGCCCGAGAAGACTGGGACAACTCGGTGGACCTACCGTCTTCAAGCAGTGCTGGAAGCATTGAAATGCCACCGACACAAAGTGAACGGGGCTTCACCTACGAATGCTTTCAAAACGGATTTCTGGATGCGAAGAGAAAAAAGACTCATGTGCATTTCGCCCATGGTTCTCTGGTGGATTATGACATTTTTATGTCTATCAAAAAGAAACATGAAAATAAAAAGAAAAAGACGCAATTCCTATGGAAACTGCAAATTATAACATGATGAACTTTTAAAAAAACTTTGAAACAGCGGACAACATATCCCAGATATGTTGTCCGCATGTTGAACTAATTCCTGATGTTCTCACGTTATAGGAAGAACACAAAACACTCTAAAACACAGTGGAAAATATTATTTTTCAAAGTTGACCACAATGAAATTCAATTGCCTTCCGGGGAACCGCAGGCCTCTGCCCTTGGTGATATTGGATGATATTGGATGACATTGGATGATATTGGATGATAGTGGGACCATGAGAAATCTATATCACGTCTCGACGAAAGATAATTCCCCAACAAACAACCCTTCTGGAGTTCTTTCAGTTTTACAAGATTTGGCAAAACGGGCGAGTTTTCTTTGGGGGCACAGCCAGGAACAGCTTCGGGTTGTGCGGATGACTCACAAACAAACCAGCACTTTCATACATTATGTACATATATATATATGTATATAATTATATATATAATTATATATATACAAATGAATATACATTGTATGTTATAAATATATGATATATAATGTCAACCCCGATGAGTAAAACCTTACTACCCCAATTGTCGTGATAGGTAGTGATTTTTTTGCATCACCCCCTTTTAGTTGGGGCTTTGGTCATGGCAACCCAACCCGATCTGTTGATCTGCGAAAACATGTGTCCAGCTCCTGTGTTGTGGGCTACCCCGCAAGCCGAGAGTTCTCATGATAGTATATGATAGTATACCCACAGTAAATGGCTATATTGAAATACAGTTATATGGTAGTATATGTCTGTAGTATACCCGATTTGTACATATACTACTGTATCATATACATTCATATACTGTATTTGCTTACGGATAGACCGTATAGACTAGACAAACATAGAGAAAAGAAAATTGAATGGTCATGGCTTGTTGCCCCCTCATTCATGAGTCATTACCAGTTGGGAAGTTGCGCCTTGCGCCCAGGCTATCTAATGCTGGGAAAATGATGACTAATGAATGGATGGCTACACTATTTTCCAGCAAAGCGATATTATCAGGGTTTCTTTATGGATCCCCATGTTAAGTACCTATGGATTTCAATACTAAAATGGTCTAATGACTTGGATGATTTGATATTTGGGGGTACCCCAATGACTTAGGAAACCTCGATAACATGATAACCTGGGGGAGAAAAAAAAAAACGTTTATATACACATGTTTGGACTATGAACCTGCAAACAAATCAAGCCAATGAACTCCGATTCCTCTGAAGTAAGTCAAATTTAGAGAACTTCATCGTTGCCAACGGATCAAGAATTGCAAACATCTAAAATCCCACTAGTCACTAGTCCATCTATACCTAGTCATCAGTCTCAGATCTGTTGTGCCATGTCCAGTGACTTGTCATGCTGGAGACCTCTCGGCCATTCACAATCACGATTTCTTCACCTTGGTATTCCGCAGTTTCCAGTCACAGCAGATTTGTCAAAAACCCAACTAGTTCAACTTACACCCAGGATGGGTTTTTTTATCATGGCTGAGGTTTTCCCCGATGCCAAACTGGCCGGATTCCCATGGATGACCTATTTATTTTTCTGGTGCCCTTTTTGGAAACCAATCTGATGCAAATGACCGGACTTTTGTGACCATGCTTCGAAGCCATGAATATCATGAATTGAAAACTCGAAAACTGGAACATGATATCACGCTGAACTTCGCATATTCGAAGAAATTGCAATTCCCAAGTTCCACCTGAAATGTCACGGGGGTGTCACTTATATGCATGATTTTTGACTGTTAAATCACCATTTTCATGTTCGAATGGCTAGCCTTCAGGAATGAAACACGGCAATTGGAAACTGGCCAAATGATCGAACTGTAAATGGTGAATTGAAAGCAAGCCATATTTGATGAGAGGGTAAATTGTCATAAATTTTCATGATCTCCCATTCATTACATTTATCCATTTTATCACCAGTAAATATCCCATGCATGCCATGAAATGTCAATTTTTTCGTGGTGAAAACCGTGAAAGCTCCTGATTTTTCAGACCAACTCGAAGCCAAGGCACCTCCTTCGAAACCAGCCTGGTCTGCCCAGGAGTCAGGGACCACTTTGTTCACCAACACAGGCTCCGGTGGCAACTGCAGAAACGACCTGCAGCTACCAGCTCTACCATCTTTTTCCAGGAGATGGTAAGTCCTATGTTCTCAGTTCATTCAATACCCTCTGGTAAACTAACATAGCCGGCAACATAGCTATTGAAAATGGCCATTTATAGTGGATTTACCCATTAAAAATGGTGATTTTCCATAGTTATGTTGGTTTACCAGAGGGTATGATGCCAAGATGTGAATGATGAAAAAGCGTACAAGTACTGTACTGTAGTAACTGTGTATCATTGTCCACTGAAAAATCACTGAAATGCAATGTGGGGATATAACCACCAAACATGTCATCATGTCCTCCTATGATTACACCAGTGAGTACTATATATAAGTATAAGCCCCGAACAAATCGTCAACCATCATGTGTCAATTATCATGGTGGCTATTGTTGAACCCCCTTGGCATGACTCTAAAATACTGTAAAATCGCGACTGGAAATGGATCTTATAACACAGAATATGTGGAACAATAGATTTATAACAAAACCTATGACCTATTATATGATGTTATTACATTAATATTTTGTCAACATATTCTATGTGGATCTTCACGAAAAACCATCAACCAGTCGGTCAGCGTCCACCTTAAGGGATTCAAGTAAACAACAAGTGTTTGAGAAAATGCAAACTGCAAGAATGTCAAGTAAAGATGCCTATGTTCGTTTAAAAAAAAAAAACACACACAAAACTTTGAGAGACATTTGTTTGTTCCAAGCGGACGGTCAAAAAAACATCAAAAAACATGTAACGTTACCTTTCGAGGATAGCCGCACCCAGGCTACCCGACAAGCCAATCTTGTCTATGCTGTTGTCTGCTACTGCAGTATGGAGCTCATCCTGGTTCAATGGTCTGCCATCAAGGTTGGTATTACTGGGATTCAATGGGATTTAACGGAACTCAAGGGATTTAATGGAATTTAATGGAATTTAATGCGATTTCATGGGGTTTAATGGGATTTACAGTGCGACTGGATGCACATAGCTGCGAATTGATAAGGTAGAATTATCATGAATTCTTTTTTCATGATGAATCCTTAATAGATACGTGTTCCCATCTTTCAGTGCGAAGATTCAGAGTTTCCAGGGGGCCAAACTCAAGTTCTTCACGGTACTAACATTCATTCCTATCTCCACAGCTCCCGCGATCGCAACAGCCAACATAACGAAGATCCACGACATTCCTCCAGGGTTTCCCGATGTCTCCCGGTGTGTCTGTTTTAATTTCCGTGATCAGCCTGGGATCTGCAAAATGGTGACCCAAACTGGTCATAAATTACTCTGAAAAGGCTAGGGATGGGTAGACAACTCCCATCCAAATCATTCACTGATCATCGCGTTTACCATGGTTTCCCTCTTTAAAAAAAATGGTGTTTATTGGCGGGTATAACATGGTATAACTTGGTATAACCAATTTGAAGCCACCCATTTTGGATTATTTTGCTTGCGTTCAACCAAAACGGCCCCAATCCCGACCTTGGAGTCCACCGGCACTCGAAACCTGTGCCAACACGGGCACTAATAGGACTTGAGAGCAAGCTCGTTAAAGGGAAAAACGACGATAAACCACAAGAATTCTGGGTTTAACGGAAGGAGTATTTGGAATCACTGTCTTAAGTGAGGGGATTGAAACTCCTAGTTTTTCCTAGTCTGAAATCTTTGGAAAAACCTACCTTGCATTGACGGTGAAATACCAGCAAGTGATTCGGAACGGTTCATTTACTTTCACGTTCCACTTACCCCTTACAGACACTTGCAAATACTTGCATACCACAAGCATGTAAGAACGCAATCAAATAGCTCCAAATTTCCATAACAATCCTTACCCTCTCAAAATCAGTCACATCGTTTGCTGGAGATGCGTAGCTAGTTACAGTGATTTCACATCGCCAAGGTCAGCTAGCTGCGCGCCTGATGGTCAGTGGCCGCACCTTCAAAGCCTCCTTAAACGTTTCACGATCCCTGGCCCAGTGGGGCGCTAGGGGTCCAAGGGATCCAACCAAGGCAATGTCGAAAAAGTAGGGGGATGGTTGATGGTTGGTCAACTATGGGATAGCCTGCGTACATATTATAAGTTAACATCTAATATATATACATATATATATATATATCTGTGTATATATATATGTATTAATATCTATTAATATACATTATGAATTATACATTGATTGTAACATATATATATATATATGTTACAAATATGTTACAACTAGTCGGTGGTTTCAAACATGATATAGTGACTGTAGCTGCAGTTGATCCACATTGTCAGACAGACCCATATTGGTTATGAATCAAAAAATCAAAACCCCATGAAATCCTCTGGTGAAACCCCAAAAATAGTGGGTAAATGATGCATCCCCCCCATTCATAGTATTTCATATGTTTTGATCTATATCTCATCCCCAACGAACCCACTGCGGTTTCACCAATACAATCCGTCACGGGACATGGTCGCCACGTCTACGCCATTCACCGCCACCACTTCTTCACCTGCCCGAGGGGCGCGAATCTTAACCACCAACAACCACATTTTCTCAAGGTGTACTGATATGAATTAAGCATGTATTAAGGGGGTCGCCTTTGGCTACTTACTACTATCACATTTTCTCAAGGTGTACTGATATGAATTAAGCATGTATTAAGGGGGTCGCCTTTGGCTACTATCTACAGTACATGTTTTAATCTATATATATGTCTATCTCTATGTGTTCTAGCGTATTAAAATTAAAACTAATCAATTTGCCTCCCTTGAGTCTTATTTGCGGTATATAACCCAATCTATCTACATGGTCCAGTCAATCTAGGCAAAGCAATTTAATTGAATGTATCTAATCCAATACAATTTTATCTTATCTAACCGATTCTATTCCAATCTACTCGGCTGGATTCGAACCCAATCGAAAATAATCCGTGAAACCTAATCGGTTCTAATCCTATACAATTCAATCCAATCAATATATTTGCCTGTCTATCCATTTATGTATATACTGTACACTTGTTTCATCATCAGCATATGTTTGCATTTTGAACATTATTACACAATTTTGTTGTAGTAAATAAGTATTATTGACTATAGCCTGTAGCCTAAAGTAGTATTATCTATGGTCATGAACAACCATGGCCTTTCTCCAGATCCAATCCGAACAAATGGTTTTATGTAGGAGAAGTAATAAAACTGTCTGACTGTCCATTGCCCATGGTTTTTGATCTAAATGTTTCTTCAGAACGTAGTTTAGCCCCCAAATCACACCCCAAATACTGCATCAGAACATATTCAAATCATTTTGGACCCAAGTCAACTGAGTCAAAATCATAATTCTCGTTTGAACCATCTTACGCCTCAAGTTTCATCAAATTTCTCCGTGCTGCAGATTGCATCATCCCAAGCCCAATTTTTTGATATGTATTTGTGGCCCTTACCATTCCCATGCAACTCTGCGAAAGAATCTATAAAATCTGACAAACCTCCAATATTTCCCAAATCAGATTTAAGTCTCCCAAACACTTTGTCCACACTGAAGGGTTCTTACGGTAGATCGGGATTAGATCAGGGCGCTCCAATGTGTTCCATCTGGGCCGCGGCATTTTTGCATATGTTTGCTCTAAATTCTCGCATAAAAATGCCCCTTGTGAGATGTCCACGTGCATTTCGATTGCGCAGGCTCGCACGATGCGTGGGTCGCAATTTTGGTCTGGCGCATTTAATCATTGTAAATTCTCGCATAAAGGGCCTCTTCTGAGATGTCCATGTGCATGTCGACCGCGCAGGCTCACACAGAGTGCGGGCCCAAGTTTGCCTCGCGCTCATTTTTCGTGGCAGGCGCAATACTTTTTAGACCTCGACAAAAACTTGGCAAAAATCGCAACCCTCGGCACTTTGTGTGGGTCAGATCGCTCTCGTTGTGGCGCGGTTCTGATTTTAGCTAATTCTCTGAGATCCTGGTGAACGAATCTTATATGACTTATGACTTTTGAGTTCTCAAGGTTCTTATATGACGATCTTGCAAGAGTTTCATGGTGCAGTCTTAGTAGAGGTCCGCAAAATATGAAGACCTAGACCAAGGTCTCGTAGAGGTCCTTGGGAGTGAAGGCTGCGAAGATCCTGATGAAATCCTGCCAGGGGTCCTTGCATGATCTCGTTCAGGTCCCTTACATCATCTTGCACAGGTCCTTATCAGAAGATCTTGTGGAGATCCTGCTCAATTCCTCTCTGAGAGGTCCTTGCATGATCCTGTACGGGTCCTTCACAGAAGATCTTGTGGAGATCCTGGTGAGATCCTCTCTATAAGGTCCTTGCATGAGGAGCTTGCACATGCCATATCTTAGAGGTGCTTTTATGAAAGCTCTTGTGGGAGGCTCTGGGAGGATATTGTATCAAGATCTTGCAAGATCCGCACCAGCAGCAGCAGGTTCTTTTTTGACGATCTTGTGAGATTCTCTTAGGGGTCCAAACACGAAGACTTGTGAGAAGATCTTGTCGAGATCGTGGTGAAATCCTCTAAGAGGTCCTTGCATTCAGATCTTGACAATGCTCTGCATTGGTGCTTGTATGAAAGTTCTTCGGGGATTTTCATTGGAAATTCTTGCGGGATCCTCAAAGGAAATTCTTGCATGATGATCTTGTAAAATCTTGTAAGGTCCTTTTGATGGTCCTTCTTTGATGATCTGTTGAATTGTTTTCGATGTCATGGTATGAGGTTCTGGCATGAGGTCCTGATGGCTAGACAGCGTTGCTTCTTGTGCCAAAACAGGTTCCTGCTGCTGCAGTTACGATAGTGTCTAACCTGATCCGCTTGTATCTACATTGACTTCCTACCCCCACACTGTTTGGGGTCTCTTGCCCGTGCAATGTACGGTTAAAACAATCATATATTCATCATCTTCCAAATTAATTATTGTATAAACATGTATAAACCATTCCCAAATGGGTGGTTTATGATTGTGCTAACCACATTGTCTTTTTTTGTTTCCGCCCCATCTTTGGGGGGGATGATTCCACCCCCGTGACGCCTCCACGAAATCTGCCCTGGCCCCAGGTCTCCGGAGCGACCGAGTTCACGACCACCGCATCAGGAAAGGACCTGGTGAGGGATACCAGCGTAATTGAACGTAGCTATTGAAAATTGCTATTTATAGTGGATTTTCCCATGAACAATTGTGATTTTCCATAGTTATGTTAGTTTACCAGAGGGTAAATTCCATGTCAGTTCCAGAAACAAAAAACGAGTTAAAGAACATGTAATTTTCACATTGAACAATAATTGAACAACATTAATTAGTCAACATTGAATAACAATGAACTAAATTGTTTTACCTTGAAAACATGAAACAACATTCAACAACTACCATTTGGGGATGGTTCCTGTCCAACCCATGGTGAACCTGGGGATCGTTTATGGCTTTGGGTTTAGCACAATACTGAGATGCTATTTTTTCGGAATTCCTGGACAAAGTTGGAAAAAGAATCAGCGAGGATAGTGTAGTTGAAGAGTTAGGGAAGGACCCCGGAAGTCCGTTTGAAAACGGGTAAACATATGTGGAAGAGTCCTGAAAAATCAGTTCAAAGGATGAATTACCATCGGAAGAATATGGGAGCGCGGATCTGGGGTCAAGGATTGCCAAATAGGATAGCAACATGGAGCCTCAGAAAGGTCAATTTGTGACACCGTCAGCTTTACATCCCATTCCATTGGGGCCTTGGCTTCAAAAAAAAACAGCTGTTTGAATCTGTTTGAACATTTAACCAACCCCCCAAATGTGATACCCAATCATGTTTGGGTTTTGAAATAGTGCTAATCTCAAGCATCAACAGCCACTATTTATAAAGGCTTATCTTAACTATTTCCATATGTTCCATGTCTGGAAGATTTGCCAACACCTTCCAAGCACCCCCAAAAACCCGGGATGCCCGACACGCCGATCTTTTGAACCTCCGGCCCCACTTGAGCATCTTGAAGCGCTCTTCGGGCCTGACCCCCAAACGAGGTTCAATTGCCTAATGGTTAATTAGTAATCCCATCAATAACCATCAATAACCATCAATTAACCAGACCCCCAATATTAGCATTGATCCGCCTATTGATACGAAAAAGTAATCCAAGAACAAAATGAAATTTACCGTAAGAGTCCTGTCATGTGGTTTGGAAACTCTGAATTCGTAGCTCCTCCCCGCTCCAGTCCCAGAATTTGCATATATAATCCCCATTTTTTATGTGGGAAACCCAAAGATAAACCATTCCCAAAATCACCATCAATGGGGGGTACCCTAAACTAACATAACCATGGAAAATCACCATTTTGTATGGGAAAATCCACTATTTCTATGGCCATTTTCAATAGCTTTTTGTATGTTTACCAGAGGGTAACCATCATCCCCAAATGGCAGGTTTATGGCCAGGGTTTCCCGCATCCTCCAGCCGCCAAGGTACGACATCTACTGAGAGCTGCACGGACATGGCCGCGGCGAAAAGCGCCTGACTCGCTTCACGTTCTACGCGCCGGAACCCGTGAAAAAACGTGGTTCTTGATGGTGAATAATGCTTGAGATGGTGGATTTCATTTCATTTATGTGGATTTAGAATGTTTGAGATGGTGGATTTCATTTCAGACTGTCGAAGTCTTAGAAGAGAAATGTATTTTCGACTTAGATTTGAAGCAACTATGTTTGGGGGCAAACTACAGCATTCTCGCACTAGGCCCGTTTGTTGCATTTTGGGATTGCTGATTTTCACCATCACAATATCCACTACCTTTCGGGTCAGCCAATTTCAACTGTGAGGACAGTCACCGTACACTGCCCTTTCTCTGGACACGTGCAACATCCTGCACACCAGTTCCAGCTGTTTCTGCGGGATGTTATTTTGCCTCCACATGTACTTGTGGGAATTAGTGAGATACCTCTGAATGTGGCTCACTTCACCAACCTGTCATTTGACATTTGGGGATAGTTGCCCCTTCCAGTGGCGCATTATTCCCTCGTGAGGTCCGCCCTTGATGCTCCAATCGCTGTCCATGCGCCACTGCATGGACGAAACCACCGGGGGATCGGTCACTTGAAATGGTGCTGATATAGTGCTGATATAGACTATTGATATCTATTGATTCATGAATCTATTGGACATTGCCATTCTTATGACACAAAATGAAATAGAACCTCAGTAACTATATACCACAGGCAGATGGTCAATGCACCAGCGCGATACGAAGAAAACATTGGGAACACAGCCTCCAGTAGTCAAACATGGCTATGGAAAAATCCCACATTTAGGTCTACATGACTTCCCAGTTATACACCTCCATCTCTAGGGGAGTTCCAACCATAGATTACCCAAGGGATATACTTTGCTGTGAAGGATTTGTTTGTTAAAAAATGTGCCTTTCAGATCTTTGAACACGTTCTTGAACACCCCTCACAAGCGACCAGACACTCAAGACCCCACCGGGCCTCCTTCAGCCTCGTGAAAACACTATTGAAAACAACTCGTGGTTCCTCTAAGCTACTTGATATAGAACTAGGCAGCTTGGTTTTGGGGCCAACCACCCCTGAAAAAAATACCATGCAGCGATTTGTTTCAACATGTTTCAGCTGTTCAGTTTCTTTTCAGCATGGGCACTATGGCGGCCCTGCAAGTCTCAGCTACGGGCACCAGATTTTTTCAGTGTTGGGCCTATAAGATGCCAACCCTTTGCCTCGCTGCAATTGCAGCTGTGCTGGGTGAACATACACACTTTGGTCACTGGTCACTTCTCTCATGGTTTCTCGTTTGTAAAAGCAGTACCTAACTACTTTCTCTTCGAGCCGTAGCGATTCGGGCGAGTCGAGTGATCTCAGCGACTGTTTGTTGCCCTCAACATCACTTCCAACCACTTCCGATGTCGGAAATCTTTACTATACCATTCTGCAATTTTTGTTTCCCTTGAATCAGTGAGAGTTACACTTCCCAACTGCTTGATGATGGGTGGTTGACATGATGATGTGGTTGATATGACGATGATGGGGTTGACATGATGCGGTTAACATGATGGTGGGAATGCTAATCATGACCATCGTAACTCGGAAGTTTTCTAACTAAACTTCCTTTGATCATAAATCATAAACTGGTTGGTGGTTTCAACCCCTCTGAAAAATATTAGTCAATTGGGATGATTATTCCCAATATATGGAAGAATAAAAAATGTTCCAAACCACCAACCAGTAAAGCAGTTTATCATGGAAACAGGAATAACCACCAGTTCTTCATGGGATATTCACTTACGGGTTTGTCTGGAAATATGCTACCCTAAATCACAGTAGTATTGGGATTTTGATGGCATGCCCTATTTTCGAATTTCAGACACATCCAAACATTAATGATGATTATCCATTGGTTGAACATCCCATGGAAAAAAACAACAAATTCTATATGGTATATCAAAATATGGAATATATATATATTATATATATGTATATTATATAGCAACCCTCAAAAAGATGCCGAAAAGTTCCAGAATGTTGGTCCGATGACATTTACATATATTTTATCTCATATTTCCAGCTGTTCCACTTTTCTATCTATGACTTGGGGTTGCTATGTCTAGTGAATAACACTCACCAGGACAGGGCGTGTCCAGTCATACTCCCAGCATCGGCATCGGCGTGCCCGTGTCCATGGCTACACCAATCTGCAGGGGCCCAATGGGCCCGAGGACCCATGGGCGGTTGGTTTGCTGGAAAATCCATTGAAAATTATACATGATGAGCTGGCAAAGTCATCTATAAATGGAGGAATTTTCAGCAAGGCAGTGAAAAATCAAAGAGTTTGCGGAGGGAACATCCTCCACTAGTGGGGGTGTTCCAGTGTTCCATGGGAAAACCCATCGAACACTCGAACTAATCAGGGAATTTTCCAGCCATCTTTGATTACCAGAGTGTACAAAAAAAATCTTAACCTTCAAAGATCAATTGTAAAAAACATATGATGATCCTTTGGAATTGGGGGTCATGGTTGCCCCGGCAAAGGAGAAAAAAAACGGAGGCAAAAATACCATAACCATGGCAAAGTCAGCATCTTGATCAGCAAGAACCATCCAAAAACGATTGCAGTGATTCATTTGCCAGTCCAAAATCATCCAAAATGCCGCATGCTAAAAAAAAATCTGGAGGGACACCTTCGGAAAAGATTAAACACAGCGACATCTTAGCGAAAAACGATGTATTTTTGCCGCTGGTTCATCATTCTCCCTATGAACCACGAGGCATAGCTGGGGATTTCCAGCTCGTGCGCCTTGAAACCCTCCAGTGGTAAGCCGCCGGCCGTGGAAAAGCAGCTCCACCTGTGGGATTTGCGGATCCAGCGATGGGAGTGCGACCACGGTGTCAACTTGGCGACTGGAATAGTAATCCCCGTGGCCAGGCCGCCACGGAGGTTTTTTGTTGCTGGGTGAACGAACTTTTTCTGATTCTCCAGCAAAGTGACTTTTTTTTCCAGGGGATGTTTTTTAATGATAGCAGTACAGGTTCATAGCAACTCCTGAAAATAATTGAAACTAATTAGATGCCAAACAGTTGGACCTGATTTTTTCCATGTCACATCATTTCCCAATACCATCCTGGTTGCACACATCGGCTTTGGGGGTTATTACACACCTATGGTAATCATTAAGAATCATAAACTAGAACAAAAACCTACATTATACAACAATGTTTGGATTAAACATCATCTGCGCATGCTGGGCTCTCAAGGTTGCTATACTTCAGCCATCTTCTCACACCATTCGCTGCAGTAGCTGTCCCTCACCCCATTCCAACGCTCCCATGTCAAGCCATCCCCACTTATCACTCAGCTATCTCATTGCATTGTAGTGGTTTGTACATGGTTATCCCTTTTGAAAAGGCTGTAACAAACCCTAACAAACCAAGTATAACCCCGTATAAATCTATAGTAACCAATCACAAAGTCACTTAAAGGATATTTATTCAACTCTATCCCCGTATGTTTGATGGTTATCACCACCAGCACCCCTATAAAACCAAAAAAAATGCTGGTGAAACCACTATTGAATTGCCAATCATTTGTTTCCACGTGTTTTTTTGACATGTTTTTTTGCGCACCGTCGGTTTACACAGAGTCAAATTGAAAAAGTCGCCAAATTGATTCCGCGCGTTGACAATATAACTCAGGGAGGGGCATTCCGCTAGAATCCAAAAAAAACATGGAGGTTGTTTTAATGCAATCAATCTATAACATAAATTTCACATGATGATTATAGGATGAATTAAATTAAAGATGGATTGATTGGTATACCCTCTGGTTATTTAACATAGCCATGGTATAGATGGGCCATAGAAATAGATGGTTTACCTATTAGAAATGGCTCTGGTAAACTAACATAACTATGGAAAATCACCATTTTTAATGGGAAAACTCACTATAAATGGCCATTTTCAATAGCTATTTTGACATAACCAGAGGGTATCTATAAAATCAATCCTCTGGGTGATCCCTCGCCTGAGCTCGGCGACCATCCCCTGGGTGGCAACAACCTGCAATGGTGTGAAGTGGTTCAATAACCGAAATAAACACCTCATTCGTAGATTATTAACGCTTATTCGATGTTGTTATGCATAACAGTACCTTATACAATACTATATTATATATATATATATTTATTAATCAATATCAATTTCTATACAAGAATGTTATTCAGAATTTGAGTTGGCCATTCAAAAATGGAGTTTTTGTTCAAATTGACACCAGATATTGCTATGGGGCAAAAAATCTACAACGCATTGGTATGTGGCTCAGGGAGTCCCAAACCCATCCTTGGGTAAGTTTCTAGACCCTGGCGTGTTGATCAAGTCATCGAACACCGAAATGTTCTTGCTGGCTGTTCACATATTTTAAGGCACAGATAGGCACAGTATTTTAAACACATGCCTGCGGCATGACGCAATATGTTAACAGCCTTCGTACATTAACATATCATAAACGCTACCTTTGGTTCTAGTTTAGGGGAAAACCTCCATCGAATCCAAGTCAATGGTCTTTTGCCAACCTCTTTAGCCACGGTTCTGTGAAGAAATGTCCAAAGTTGAGCCCTGTGGTCTCGGCCAAGCTAGCGCATTATATATATATATACATACATATATATATATATATATACAAACTGACTAACAATTACTAATATACTTACATATACTAATGAATATTCACTTTTATTATATAACCATTAGCTAATACAGTTTATTATTCATTTATTGTCCATAGAGTGTATATATTATCATGTCATATATATATACATATACAGGGTATTGCCCATGGACTCGATCATTATATCCCCACTATATCCAAATTACTTAGATGAGCCATGGGGTTAGCCAACTGGTTAACAACTGGGTTACAAACCACTACGTATATCCCAATAATAGTTAATCCATTTACCAACTAGTTAACTTTCCCCATGGCCCCTCTAAGTATCATAATTATCCTAATTCTACGCATCATGTTCATAGTGATAAGTTCATATTAATAAGCACCACCGAAAAAATTCAACACCCACATTCCAAAAATCTTTGGCAATACTACTTTGGGTTGGTAGTATGATTTGGTATTACATGGGTATGGGTCAGAATTGGGTACCCTAATCATTGGATGGTTAATCTAAAGATGGCATTAAAATCTGTGGTCCCCCAGGTCTTTAATTTTGACCCATACCCACATCACCATTCAATCACCATCCTGTCACCATCCCCCAATCTCCGCCTGTGGTGCTGCCGGTGCCACCGGCACCCGCGCGGGCGCGAAGACGACGCCACTAGGCAAGCTGCTGGGGCCACAGCGACCGTTGGAGGCCTTGCAATGCGTTGCCGGCGTTGGGGGCGCAACGAAAAATGGGGCAGGGACCTGGGGAATCCAACATGATTTGGGAAGATTTAACTCTCAACAAGTGGGATTTCACATGATTTAACTATCGAACATATCGAAACATCGTCATCTAACCATGAACAAATTGGGTGGATACGTAGGATTTGACGATCAAAACTGATAAACACTGGTGATTTACTGAATATATGTCAAACATTGTGAAAAGTGAGAATTTCATCATGAACATAGGGACTGACATAACGGACTTAACCAGGACAAATGGTTGGAAATGATAGGTGTTTTTTTTTACAGATGATTTCACCATCAAAAATGGTCAACAATATGGTTGTCATGACATCAAAAATAGGGATTTAACCAATGGGATAATGATGACAATGGATACTTAGCGACGAAAATAAGAATGGGCAGTAACCATCAAGAATGGGGTTTAGCATGGTTGATCCACGATCAATGATAGGAGTATGAACCGGCAAGAATGGAGATGAATGGGTGTGTCGGAAAATCAGTATATCTCAAAACAACCAAAATTGCAATCTTAATAGGGAAGCGGAATCTGACGATGAAACAGTGGATTTAGGGGCAGCCTATTTTCACACGAACCCAAATTCCCTCAATATATATATATATATATATTGCAATGTCAAGGAGAGACCATGAGAAACAATGGGATTTTGCTGGTTCGTTGGGACTGGTTTTAATGGACGCTCTAGAAGAATCACTTGGTTATGATTTACAACATGATTTGCAAGTCCCCACTGGTGCAGGAAAACTTGGCACTGAAACACATCATACGTGTGCTATGGTCAAAACATTGTATATGGGGTATATTGGGGTATGGCCATCCATCCCATAGTCGGAATCCAAACACAATGGCTATATAGATCTCTTTATATAATCGATTGGTTACTGTCCTCCAATATGGGTCTACACTATACAATAATGATAAGTTTTGACCATGGTACATCTGTAACATAGTGTGCATGGAAGAAATCCTGCACCAGTAGGTGCTTCATTCCACTCTCTATATATTATTTACCCTCCAGTAAATTACTGTAACATGACGACCCTGCCATTTTTCGGGCTTGGAAGATTAGTGGTAAACCACTCAAAGTGTGTGATTTTCAGGGTCGCCATTGCACCAGTTGAAAACGGTGCTTCATCCCACTATCTATATATGATTTATAGAGTTTCAACCATCCCCATGCGATCAACGCCTGAATTGTGAAGATGTAACTGCGATTCGGTTCCACCTGGCTGTCGCTGCCCACTAAACATGGTGAATCGCACCCCAAAAATCCCATTTTTAGATGGTGAATGTACATTTTCTATAGCCTTGATAGCAAAAGAATGGATAGAGCTGATTTTTTAGTACTATAATTGCTATAATAGTAACTAACTTAGCTGATTAACAGCAGTTATAGTGTCTACGGATGGCAAAATAATTCACACAACATTCATACAATGTGGGGTCCCCCCAGTTATCTTTGTTGGTTTATGAACCCCATGAATGCTCTGGTTATATCATAAACCATAGTGAAATTGGAGTTATTTGCACCAACTTCGTTTTCTCTGGCTGCCCCACATTCATAGAATGCCTATTTGGCAATGATTCACAGAACATCTATCTATAAGAAATAAATGATCCAGTAGTCCAGAGATGGAGTATAGATTCTGACCTCCAAAGTCTGACCAACTCACTCATCACGTGTCGAGTCAACCTCTGGATTTGGTGCTGCATTGATCTATAGATTGACACCTGTATAATTTCTAGAGTGTGTGTGTGACTCTGCTGCAAATACATCATAGCAAAACATAGTATACTACTATTTATTATAGTATTTTTACTCTGGTGTAGTAATAACTATTATGATTATTATAGAATAGTCGTGTGAATTTAGCAGCAGAGCCGCTATCATGTGTTCTGCGTATGGGTTTTTGTACGTAGACTCAGACCCTCCAAGATGTTCGAAGCATCGGCGAATGAGTCACAACTGGGTCCGAGGTAAGTCGACCTTTGGAAGTTTCAAGGTACCAAAATGTACCAAAGGTACCCCCAACCATAGGGGTTTAACAACCCCATAGTAAGGGTTGATGGTGATTGATACTTGGTGCTTCATTCCGCTTGGTAAACATATGTAAATAGGCCTCAACAGCTTGTTCGTCCTGGTTATGTCTACGGGCTAACGTGATCGTCCAGGTTGCAAATTGAACTACTTACTGGTACTAAGTGGGATAAACCAAAACAGGAACGGCCCCTTCCTCCCAGTTACATTTGTTGCTTTAAAAAGCCAGTTAGCTACTTGGATGAATCTTCGGAATAAATCCAATGGCTGGCCTAACTGGGCTTAGCTACCAATTTACCCACCCTCTGGTAATTTTTCAGATAGCTGTGGTATAGATGGCCTATGTATAAATGATTGTATCTATTTGGCTATGGATCAATACCTATACATACCATTTTTAGGGGGATGAACATCCATTTACCAGCTATTTTGATGTTCACCAGGGGGATAGGGTTTTGACCCATCCCCATTTAAGGATAGTGGTGTTCCAGTTCGCAAACTCTGTTAGTCTGGCTGCCAGAAGGTCTCGGGCTTGGGCCTCCCTTTCACCCCCGAACCATGTGGCCCCTGGGGAGCCCCAACCGACACATGACAGCTGCACAAGACGTCTCCGGGCCTGGCTGTTCACGTCGGGGGGATTTCATATTGGGATGGGATGATGTTGATAATTAGTGGCTATATATATTAATAATTGGTAAAACATCACATTAAGGATGTGGGGAGAAGGTTGGAAAGTTGGTTCCAGTAGCCACACCAGCAAAACTCAGCAGGACCATATATATGTATATATATATCGGCATATATATATATACATATATCTATCTGCAACCATGCACAATCCATGGATATATCCACGTATTACCGGCACCGCATGGGAACCCAGCCCATCAGTCCCCATGGAGGGTCATCCCAATCTCCGTTGTCAGGAACGGCCGCGTCTTTTTTTTTCCCACCATGGCCAATTTGGTCCATATCGTCTTCTATGCACTAGCAGCCCAGTCAAGATCCTCTGCCATTTAAAGGCATACTGAAAAACCGTATCAGTTGATGGCATAACAAACTGTTTTCCATTACTCCTGGGACCCTGTTCAGCAAACACAAACAGAAACAGTGAATCCAACCCATGGCAACTCAAACAAGATCAGGTTATCAGTGGAGTGGTTTAAGGGAAAATTTACAGGAAATCCCTATATTTCATGGTAAAACGCCATGGGTTCCCCGTTAAGATGTTCCCTCAAACCAATCCATTGAGGTTAGGGATGATGTGGTGTAGCCATTAGAGGTAATAGCAGTTGGTCGACCAGCAAGTGTGGGGAGGGTCTGGAACTGACAAAATTGATTTCTTCGATATGGCTGCTATATTTGAAACTTGAAGATGAGAAAAACATGAACCTCTTGAAGATTATGGTCCTATTTCATAAGTTCCTCTTTGAAGTTTGTGTTTGTTTGAAGATGTTTAAACAAATTGCAGTATGAATTCTCTTTTCTGATGCCTTCCGCAGATATTTCTTTCCTGGGAGCCAGTCACTCAGCAATGGGAACGACCTGTCCGGGAGGCCGCAGCTGCTGTCAACCACGGATTACTGGATGATACTAGCATTAAAGTAAGATGTAGTACACATGAATGTGCCATGTTCAAAAGATGGTTTTTCTGCGGTCAAAAGAGGGTTTTTGTGGGCATCCGGGTCATCCGTTGTCCTTAATGGATTGATGACCATCCCCCGATGGTTGAGCCTCCAGTTGTTTTGGCCATGTGCTCTTATTCCAAGGGGTGTCCAAGCCAACCCGGCAACATGCCTATGGAGTCCATTGTTTGGATTCGGTGTTTTTCCAAAACATGTCCATGTTTGATCTGTTTATATTCTCTGTCTCTGTCATGTGTATAGATATATAATATATATATAGATTCATATAGAGTATCTGACTGGTGGTTTTAAGCCACCAAACTTTGCCAGAATTGGGATCATCATCCCAAACATTCAGACATATGGTCGCAGAAAAAAACACGAACCATATATTGTATGATAGTGTACATATTTCCCCTCCATCAATTCTTGCAATGGAAAATCCATCATTCTTGACCCTGTTCCGAAATGGAAAGCTCCATAAAATGCTGGATTGCCCTGTTTGACGACACCTTTTCGGGTGCCCATACCTCCACCTCACTGCCCTCTGGACGCTCGCACGAAATCCTTAGAACCCGACGTGGCACGCTTTTTTAGCCCGGCTGGGAGCTTGGTTCCTTGTTGTTACTAACGGTTACCCACAACGATGTCATCAAACATGGCGCTAGGAAATCCCTGAACGACATATGTATAAAGGTGTTCAATTTTCCACTGTCTGATGACACCGGAGAGTACAGTTGATCTTGGTTGGATATATCGAGGAAGGTAGGTATGTTACCAGGGGGTAATGTTCCCCATTGAAACTGACCCTAAACTAGGGTTAGTTGATGTTGATTGCCCACCCTTATTCTGGTTAATATCCACATATTGGAAATCGGAACCCACATATCGGTTTCTCTGAAAATAAGGTGCCCAAAATGTGATCGTTAGTCATCATTTTCGGCAATGAAATTGCCATATCTTGCGGGGAAATCCCCATGTTCAGACCATTTCAGATACTATATATATATAATATATATATATACCTATACTATGTATACATACATATATATATATATGTATATATCGTTGAGATTTATTAAATTCTTCGTTGTCCATCACATGAAATACCAACATGTCTGTCTTCTACCCCCACTTTTCTTGCTGAAATCCAAACGTATATCGTTCAATTATCAACAAAACTCCACGGTGGCTATAATATATAGATATGCCATGATTTACTTGTACTACACTATGGAATCCTTCTTATATATATACTGGTTGGTGGTTTCAACCCCTCTGAAAAATATTAGTTAATTGGGAAGATTATTCCCAATATATTATGGAAAAATAAAAGATGTTCCAAACCACCAACCAGTGATTTATTAATAGGTAATAGTAACCATCATGGTAATATTGATAATATAGTATATTACAATAGTGATCCATTATAATATTGGCAGTGAATATATTAACCATCATTAACCATCATTATTCCCAATATATGGAAAATTATATTTATATATATATATTATATATATACTAACCAGAAAATATACCAAAAAATGTCCCAGGTCGAGGAACCACAAACTCGTCCAGGACCACGGGCCAGGCGCCATTTTGGAGGTCGTAGTCCTTAAGAGGCTGAGGATTTTGTGTCGGCAAAGGCTGGGGATTTCCCCGTAGAAATTCATGGAAATTCTGGGATTGCTAGTTGATGTGAGCTAAGTTATGTTGGTTTATAAACCCCTTCATTGTAGATATATGTAGCACAAATCCAATCATTGACTAAACCAACTTAGCTAACTATGAGGCACCACCATTTTCGGACAGCGATCTAGGAGTGTCCAGAAATGTGGATACAAATGACCCCTAATTTCTTGCATTTTTGAGAGGGAAAAATGATGATAGCCCATAAAATGTAGAAGGATCTTTTTCACAACCAATCTATGGGGGGTTCACCAACCACAATGGAAATTTATGTATAAATGATTATGAATGTAAGGTTATCAAGGTAATGTAAGGTAATGTAAGCTAATGTAAGTTAATGTACGGTAATGTAGGTTAGTGTAAGGTAGTGTAGCGTAATGTAAAGTAATGTTCGGTAGGGTATGGTACTGCGGTGCAGTGCAACGCGATGCTATGTAATCTAATGTGCGATACATGTATTTACGTATGCATGTATGAGTGTGCGCATGTGTGCATGTGAGCATGTACGTGTACGTTAGTGTGTCCGTGTGTACTGACATCTTTGTTTCGGTAATGCGGTCTATCTGTCTGTCTGCCAGTCTGTCTGTATGTACGTATGTCGTAAGTACGTACATACGTACATACGTACATATATATATATATATATATATGTATATATATGTACACGTATATGTATATGTGACTGTGAATGTGAATGTAAACGTAATCGCCGACAAACATTGATTTGAGGATTTGTTAACTCTATCACAATGGCTTGAAATGAAAACCAGTGGCGGTCACCATAGAAACCAAAGCGGAAAGGTGTGGGATCTCTTAGTCTCAAGGGGAAGATTCACTAGTTGATCCTTATTTCATGGTCAATCTTGGAAGTCCACAATAAAAATATGTTGCTGGCTATCGTTATTTTCCATTTATAGCAAAAAACCATTCAAAAAACGAACGGATTAAATTATGATTAAATCAAAGATGGCTAGGAAATCCCCCTCAAAGAGGGTTATCTAAATGGGGGAAATAATTACCGAAGGGTAATGGAAATGTATCTTGCCTATTCTGATGACAGAAGCTAAGTACCCCCAAGTTACAGTTTGATCCCAAGTTCAGGCCAGTTACAATGAGAAAGCCCGGGAAAGATTCATGGGAAAGATTTCAAGCTGTTGTGTCTTGATGTCTTTTCGATTCTGTGCCAATACGTGCCAATCATAAAGAAGAAATTGGTACATTCATGTACATTCAGAGACTTGCCCATGAATCAAGATGTCTAAAATGAAAGAAAGTGAACCGGGATTTCTATGCATCACGTCTATCTGTATGGCTGAAAAAGGGTGACCACCATCATGGATCTTCTCCATCCCGTGACATGGCTACCCTTGGAGACCATTGGATACACCAACCAAAAGCTGAATGACTTTCTGGTAGAGAGATGAAAGTAGATGGTAAAAAAGACTGAGTTGTCTCGTATCTTTGGATATATACAGGATATACAGAAAAAACGTTCTGTCCATCTATGGTCAAAAAAAAACAAAATACAAAAGGATTCTTCTGGTTTCCCATCATTCACCTGCTGGTCCGAGATTTCAGCATATTTCAGCCAATTGCCCTCCCAACAACGAAACTACTTGGAGGATCATTCCATGTCTGTGCTTCGCAGCCATAGTTCATATCTACAGCTGGGATAAGCCACGAATATCCACGACTTCTCCGGGTTTCAGGGCGATCCCTGGGATGATCCTCCAAGCACTGGCCTGGCTGTTTTGAACAAAGCATCCGACAAGTCCGGTTTCACTTGCGTCGCTAAGTCAAAGAGCATCATCCAGGTATCCTCACGGTGATGCCATGATGACGCAAGGTTGAGACCACGGAGAAATCTCAACAAGACCACGGAGAAACAGCAGGTTTAACTACTGTTATTAAAACATGTTAAAAACAACAACCATATTTTTTCCAGGAAATGTCAGTTGTCAGATGACTCGGTAAACTTACCAAGGGATCAAATCCAACATGTTCCATGCCCTCCTTCGAGACGTGATTCTTCACGTTCTGCCTTGGATTGACACACGACTTCCGAATCTTCCGAGGCCAGAGAAGAAGTGAAGAAATTGGTTGAGCCACCCTGAAAAATAGGACGGTCATTGGGAATCATCACCCCAAGTACAGTATCCTTCCCTATGGATCCAAGTACCTTCTCAGGAAGTGTTTGGGGTATAATTTACTATAATTTGGAGGGTTAAGTACCTTCTCAGACAGTGTTTGGATCCATAGGGCTTTTGCATGAACATTTGGATTTCACCAGCAAAACTGGTGATTTTCTTGTTATGAACATCGGTGAAACCAACCAGACAAATTCTTGGGTATCCTTTGTGGAAGAGTGTTGTCGGGGTACAGTAAATGAGGAAATTTCTGCGTTTGTGCCAAATGCATCCACATGCTGCATCTATTCAACGGATTGGTTGGGAAATCTTCACCAGAAACCATGGATTTTCCCTCGAAATGCGGGGGTACTTAAGGAGGTCTTTGGAGGCCAAACCCCACCCCAAAATACTGTCTCAGAACTCAGAAGGTGTTTGGAGCTGTAGGGTGTACATACATACTAACATAACATGACATAACATAATGTTACATTATCTTACGTTACCTTACCTTGCCTTACCTTACCGTACATTACATTACAATCCATTCCATTACATTACATTAAATACGTATGTACCATACCATACCATACCATACCGTGCCATGCCCATGCCATGCCGTACCATAACATCCATCCATACATACATTACATTACATTACATTACTATACATTACATTACTATACATTACATTACATTACATTACATTACTATACATTACATTACATTACATTACATTACTATACATTACATTACATTACATTACATTACTATACATTACATTACATTACATCACATTACATTACTATACATTACATTACTATACATTACATTACATTACATTACTATACATTACATTACATTACATTACATTACATTACTATACATTACATTACATTACATTACTATACATTACATTAAATTACATTACATCACATTACATTACATTACTATACATTACATTACATTACATTACTATACATTACATTACATTACATCACATCACATTACATTACATTACTATACATTACATTACATTACATTACATCACATTACATTACTATACATTACATTACATCACATTACATTACTATACATTACATTACTATACATTACATTACATTACATTACATTACTATACATTACATTACATTACTATACATTACATTACATTACATTACATTACATTACTATACATTACATTACATTACATTACTATACATTACATTACATTACATTACTATACATTACATTACATTACATTACTTTACTTTACTATACATTACATTACATTACATTACTATACATTACATTACATTACATTACATTACACTACATTACTATATATTACATTACATTGCATTACATTACATTACATTACATTACTATAATATTACATTACATTACATTACTATACATTACATTACATTACATTACATTACTATACATTACATTACATTACATTATATTACATTACATTACATTACTATACATTACATTACATTACATTACTATACATTACATTACATTACATTACATTACTATACATTACATTACATTACATTACATTATATTACATTACATTACTATACATTACATTACATTACATTACATTACATTACTATACATACATAATTAAATAAATATATATATATAATTATATTAATGTATATAATTATTATATTTACAGCGTAGATATAGAGTACCCTTAAATCCTTAACATGTGTAATGTGCATCTGTCCATATCTTACCATCGCCAAGGCGCTCTACCCAGCTGATCCAGGTCTCTAAGAGCGCGAAATGCGCCGGCAATAAAAGTTTCCAAAACCTGACGGCGATCGATAGAATGATGGGGATATTTTCTGAAAAGGTCCAACCTCAACAAAAAACTGCCCCAAAAATGAATAGATCGTCAATGCGCCTGAATTTCCGATTCATAGATTCTCAATAATGCATAGATTGTCAATAAGCCTTTGATTTTAGTGTGAGGTAGTGGTGGTTTTACATTTAAAAAAACTTGTTACTCCGCCATAATGGACATTTAGCTGTAATTGATATAACCTCAAGGGGAAAGTGAAGCCAAGAACTTTGAGGAGATGCGAGACAAAAAGATGGTGACACATTGAAACAAATGGTGGATCAGCATCAAGCTGGTCAAATGATTGACCAACAACAAGGGGGGTTTGAGCCAACAATTTTGAGATCGGCAACAGACACGGGGAAAAAAACAACAATAACAACGCAAAGATATGCGTGTGTATAAGATGTATATGTGGATAGTTGAAATATCTATAGCTTTTATACGTGTTCTCCTGCCCAGGTCATCACTCACTTGACCAACAAGCACTGCAGTTCCTAAGAATGGCCAATGTGTCTCCATAAGCCCTTGCTTCTAGTAGTTGTCATTGGTGGGTTTATTATGTTTTATATATTATATTATATATTATTAATATCTTATTGATCTTATTAATATTATATTATGTATCAAAAATGCATCTTTTAAAAATATCCCGAAAGGGATTTATCCGAAAACATGAATGAATAGCCCACTATATCTGCTTTCTATCCATTTTGAACCCAACATTATGATGGTTGTAAGTTATAATCCAGTAAACCCCGGATATACTAAGAGAAACACCTCGTACCTGTTCATAGTTTGATTGTGTTTTTTCTAGCCACCGAAGGGCGCTAGTCAAAGCTCAGCCAGATACGATACCAGCAGGTCACGTCATGGAGCAGCTGGAATCTATCGGTTGTTTGTCTGGGTAAAAGTGGGAGGATTTTGAGGGAATCTGACCAAAATGGTTTGTAACCTCCCAAATGGTGGCAAAAGTGACCAAAAGGCTCGAGGACTTTGGGTCTGAAACTCTGAAACGCGCCATGGCAATTTCAACGGTGAAAATCGTGTATCAGATTTTCGGGGGTACCCAAGCAACAGACCCCGTTGACGTTTAGCGAAGCCCGTTTACTCTCCAAGAAACTCGATGCACATGTCGACCGGCAGGCAACCTAGGCTGCGAGATGCGCTTGGAAACTGCTGGTTTTTTTCCGCACATGTCAAGACACTGCATTTACTGCCCAAAGAAACGTTCACCAAAGTTGCGGACATCTGGGTTTTGTCTGAAAAGAGGGTAACACCAAACTTGGTTTAGAAATGTTGAGAGCTTCATGTGTATAATTAAGATTATAGATATATATATATATTAAAATGATCATATCTTCATGGTCAATCCCCCATTTTTCAGACATGGTGAGTCACGTCTCTGTCCTGAGATTTGGACGTTGGCCTGGCCGATGGAAACCAAATTTGGACGTTTCTTTAAAAATGTCAGAGGTCTCTGAAAAGATGTTCTCAACCAAGTCTGGTTTTTCATATGTGTTCAAGATTCTGTTTGTTGATGCCTGGTTTATTAAACTGGGCATTTCTCAACCACTTGTCCTGTAATTAATTAGGTCACCTCGGCCTTTTTTAGGCCGAGGTGACCTCAGAGATGCTCCGCAAAAATCAGCCCAAATCCTGGGGGCCTTGTCTTTTATTACTAAAGCCTCCACCGATATTTGGGATCCGAACATCTTTGTTGGAATCCCACACTGCTCAATTTTTTTTGGGAAAATCCGGCATTCTTTTGAAAATCCCACAAAAAGCTCTTTTATCAAAAGCTCCAAAAAAATCCATGCCGGATGTTCCCGTTAACAAAAATGGATGAACACGAACACGCTCTCGCAAAGTTGGGATTTCCACTTTAAAAAAAGTTGGATTCGATTCCCCCAACAAAAAGTGTCTCCACAGATCTCCATGGCGGTCGCCTTGATCTAACGCAAACTGAAAGGTGAAGGCGTAGACCTCCAGGGCTCCCATTCGGAATCGTCATCAAACATGGCTGGAACATCCTCCAACTTTTCATGGAGCTTTGTAGCTGGGAAAATATCAAAATATTTATGGAGGATTAGTGGTATATAAAATTGATGAGCCCCCAAAAAAAATGGTGAATCGCATCCATCCTTTGACCCGTGGCACATATGTGTGTATGGTGTGTATATACATGTGTATTTATATATATATATGTGTATGTAGAGAGAGAGAGAGAAACATAGATAAGGTAAATAAAATGCAAATAAGTCAAACAAAGAAAGTAAGGTCAACTAGGATAGATAGAGTCACACATACAAATAAAACAATAGATATATAATGATATATATATATATATATGTCTAATGAATATCATAGTTTATGGATAGAGTGTGGTCATCTCAACAACCGCTGTAATCTCATTGAAACTGGCTGAGCAGGGCCCCGCTGTTCAACACGCTGCAAACCCAGCGAACCACCAGGCTGATGCGTGTTGAATGTGGTTCATAAGCCACGGCTTGAAATGTCGAGTCAACGGTTGTTGGGTAATAAGGCCACAATAGATTCACTTACATAGACAATAATTATCTGGTTGGTGGTTGACCTACCCCTCTGAAAAATATGAGTCAATGGGAAGGATGACATCCCATTTTTATTATGGAAAAACAATCCAGCCATGTTCCAGTCACCACCAACCAGTTATTTATTATGGTCACACCCTCAAACGTAGTCAAACACGGCGTCTCGGCTTGCAAATCTGTGAACTAGCCATGGAGGTTTCATTACGAAAGTCATCGTCTATGTTTTATTAAATTCGAACATCTTCCATTGCCATGTTTGATTGCCCTCGGGAGTGTTGTTTTATAATATATATAATATTCGCCACTCTATTGTTGTGGGATTTCTTAAAATGGGGATCCCCTAGTCACCATGGTTGTTTCAATACTATAGTTTGGTCACTAATGACTTGGATGATTTGGGGGTCCCAAGACGAAATGGAAAGGTTTCCATATCAGCTGGCAGCATATCATAGCTGTCATACTGTGGATGGTTGCGAAATCCGATAAACCACCAAAAGGATGGTTGAAACCCTACAAATAATGGGATGGTTGAAACCTTATAAATCCTCCACCAAAAGGATGGTTGAAAGCCTAATATATATATATATATAAATCGTTGGATAAAGCACCGTTTTCAACTGCAGGATTTCGCATCCACCGTAGCTTCCAATCTTCAAATCTGCAGCTCATCGAGGTCACGTGTCTTCCCCCCCCGTCCTCCTTGCAAGCAGCTCGGTCCTGCAAAGCCTTGCAATGGCGAAGTGGGTACTAAGTGACAGTGGTAAGCGTATTACTGCCAGTTCTGAACGTATATATTTATCTATATAATTCTATATTAAATACGTATACATATCCTATGTATACATATTTTAGATTCTTAGATGGTATCATTTATCTACCATATCATTAGAACTACCTATGTATGTATTATATATATATGATATATATCGGAGCTACCACTCCTTACATATACAGTACATTAGATTACATCTTCCAAGGCTGTACGAATTTCAGGTTGCTTTTCACCCCACACCCATCATTCTCGACCTGGATTTACCAACTTGACCCAACTTGTGTGGCTCCTTGGAGGCTCTGATTCTGGAACTCCTAAAAGATGGAAACTCACAGTTCTCGGTTGGCTGAATCTGTGACTTACAATACTGCTTGGTGGCTTCAATGTGCCGGAAAACCATGCTCCTCATTGGGGATCAGTATCCCAAAACATTCATTACATGCCCCGTATTGACAGTGTTATCCTGAGATTGTGGGTCGTCATGTTAGTTCGGGGGATTGTAAACGCCCTTTTTTCTTAGCCCATGAGTTCTTCACAAAAACATAAATACATAAAATTAAAGATAGCACTATCGTTTTAGGTCTAGTTTCTTTAGCCCATCTCCTTACTTGGAGGATGGTAAATGTACAATCTAATTACCATTACCCTTTTTTTTTCCATGGCAATTTTCGAATTTCCATGGCTAGATTTAAAAACCAGAAAGGTGAACCCCCATCTACCAGATATACCATTCCCCCAACTGACAAAAGCATCTATGAATGATCAAATAAATCTACAGGTGGGATCCTCTAGATGGGTGATATCACTATATCTAAACCAACAAACCTAAATGGAGGGGAGGTACCATGTGGTAAATCTGCATGTGAAAACCACGAAAAAAAAAATATTGCTCTTCGATTGGTATATATAGTTCAGAGTTATGGATGTGAAGATCCCCCTAAACACCTTGGTAAACGGACCAATTTTCCACAGCTACCCTCTGGTAATCAACAGCTCAAAACCTCGCTAGTTTGGAGATTTCCCAGCCACGTTTGATCACACCAGACGCTACTTCCATTTATCTTAATGGGATGGAAATCCATAGTTGATTGCATATCCCATGATTATGCAACAACTGTAGCATTTTCCAAGCATTATCCCGATCTGATTGCTGGTTATATCCAAAATATTCCAAAATATTATCCCATTATATCGAATCCCCACCAATGATTTCCCATTTCCCATTACCGGAAGGTAATCCTATCAATATCCCATCAAACATCCATTCATCCCATTCATCTTCCAATAAATCACTAGAAAAATCGCATCAAATCACTGTAAAATCCCATCAAATCACTGTAAAAACCCATCAAATCACTAGAAAAAACCATCAAATCACTAGAAAAATCCCATCAAATCACTAGAAAAATACCATCAAATCACTAGAAAAATCCCATCAAATCACTAGAAAAATACCATCAAATCACTAGAAAAATACCATCAAATCACTAGAAAAATCCCATCAAATCACTAGAAAAATACCATCAAATCACTATAAAATCCCATCAAATCACTGTAAAAAACTATCAAATCATCAGAAAAATCCCATCAAATCACTGTAAAATCCCATCAAATCACTAGAAAATCCCATCAAATCGCTGTAAAATCATCAAATCACTGTAAAACACCATCAAATCACTAGAAAAATACCATCAAATCACTAGAAAAATCCCATCAAATCACTAGAAAAAACCCATCAAATCACTAGAAAAATCCCATCAAATCACTAGAAAAATACCATCAAATCACTATAAAATCCCATCAAATCACTGCAAAAAACTATCAAATCATCAGAAAAATCCCATCAAATCACTGTAAAATCCCATCAAATCACTAGAAAAATACCATCAAATCACTAAAAAAATACCATCAAATCACTGAAAAAATCCCATCAAATCACTAGAAAAACACCATCAAATCACTAGAAAAATACCATCAAATCACTAGAAAAACCCCATCAAATCACTAGAAAAACCCCATCAAACACTGTAAAATCCCATCAAATCACTGTAAAACCCATCAAATCACTAGAAAAAACAATCAAATCACTAGAAAAATCCCATCAAATCACTATAAAATACCATCAAATCACTATAAAATCCCATCAAATCACTGTAAAATCATCAAATCACTAGAAAAATCCCATCAAATCACTAGAAAAATTCCATCAAATCACTAGAAAAACACCATCAAATCACTAGAAAAATCCCATCAAATCACTAGAAAAATCCCATCAAATCACTAGAAAAATCCCATCAAATCACTAGAAAATTCCCATCAAATCACTAGAAAAATCCCATCAAATCACTAGAAAAATCCCATCAAATCACTAGAAAAATCCCTTCAAATCACTAGAAAAATACCATCAAATCACTAGAAAAATCCCATCAAATCACTAGAAAAATCCCATCAAATCACTAGAAAAAGCCCATCAAATCCCTAGAAAAATCCCATCAAATCACTAGAAAAATCCCATCAAATCACTGTAAAATTTCATCAAATCACTAGAAAAATCCAATAAAATCACTAGAAAAAATCCCATCAAATCACTGTAAAATCCCATCAAATCATTGTAAAACCCATCAAATCACTAGAAAAAACAATCAAATCAGTAAAAATACCATCAAATCACTAGAAAATACCATCAAATCACTCTAAAATCCCATCAAATCACTAGAAATACCCATCAAATCACTATAAAATCCCATCAAATCACTGTAAAATCATCAAATCACTAGAAAAATACCATCAAATCACTAGAAAAATCCCATCAAATCACTAGAAAAACACCATCAAATCACTAGAAAAATACCATCAAATCACTAGAAAAATCTCATCAAATCACTAGAAAAATCCCATCAAATCACTGTAAAATCCCATCAAATCACTAGAAAAATACCATCAAATCACTAAAAAAATACCATCAAATCACTGAAAAACCCCTTCAAATCACTAGAAAAACACCATCAAATCACTAGAAAAATCCCATCAAATCACTAGAAAAAACCATCAAATCACTAGAAAAATCCCATCAAATCACTAGAAAAATACCATCAAATCACTATAAAATCCCATCAAATCACTGTAAAAACTATCAAATCATCAGAAAAATCCCATCAAATCACTGTAAAATCCCATCAAATCACTAGAAAAATCCCATCAAATCACTAAAAAAATACCATCAAATCACTAAAAAAATCCCATCAAATCACTAGAAAAACCCCATCAAATCACTAGAAAAACCCCATCTAAAAAATACCATCAAATCACTGTAAAATCCCATCAAATCACTAGAAAAAACCCATCAAATCACTGTAAAATCCCATCAAATCACTAGAAAAACTCCATCAAATCACTGTAAAATCCCATCAAATCACTAGAAAAATACCATCAAATCACTAAAAAAATACCATCAAATCACTAGAAAAATCCCATCAAATCACTAGAAAAATACCATCAAATCACTAGAAAAATATCATCAAATCACTAGAAAAATCCCATCAAATCACTAGAAAAATCCCATCAAATCACTAGAAAAATCCCATCAAATCACTAGAAAAATCCCATCAAATCACTAGAAAAATCCCATCAAATCACTAGAAAAATCCCATCAAATCACTAGAAAAATCACATCAAATCACTAGAAAAATCCCATCAAATCACTAGAAAAATCCCATCAAATCACTAGAAAAATCCCATCAAATCACTAGAAAAATCCCATCAAATCACTAGAAAAATCCCATCAAATCACTAGAAAATCCACTATCAAAATCACTAGAAACATCCCATCAAATCACTAGAAAAATCCCATCAAATCACTAGAAAAATCCCATCAAATCACTAGAAAAAGCCCATCAAATCACTAGAAAAAGCCCATCAAATCACTGTAAAATCCCATCAAATCACTAGAAAAATCCCATCAAATCACTAGAAAAGTCCCATCAAATCACTAGAAAAATCCCATCAAATCACTAGAAAAATCCCATCAAATCACTAGAAAAATCCCATCAAATCACTAGAAAAAACCCATCAAATCACTAGAAAAATCCCATCAAATCACTAGAAAAATCCCATCAAATCACTAGAAAAACCCCATCAAATCACTAGAAAAATCCCATCAAATCACTAGAAAAATCCCATCAAATCACTAGAAAAATCCCATCAAATCACTAGAAAAATCACATCAAATCACTAGAAAAATCCCATCAAATCACTAGAAAAATCCCTTCAAATCACTAGAAAAATCCCATCAAATCACTAGAAAAATCCCATCAAATCACTAGAAAAATCCCATCAAATCACTAGAAAAATCCCATCAAATCACTAGAAAAAGCCCATCAAATCACTAGAAAAATCCCATCAAATCACTAGAAAAATCCCATCAAATCACTAGAAAAATCCCATCAAATCACTAGAAAAATCCCATCAAATCACTAGAAAAATCCCTTCAAATCACTAGAAAAATCCCTTCAAATCACTAGAAAAATCCCATCAAATCACTAGAAAAATACCATCAAATCACTGAAAAACCCCTTCAAATCACTAGAAAAACACCATCAAATCACTAGAAAAATCCCATCAAATCACTAGAAAAATCCCATCAAATCACTGTAAAACCCATCAAATCACTAGAAAAATCCCTTCAAATCACTAGAAAAATCCCATCAAATCACTAGAAAAATCCCATCAAATCACTAGAAAAATCCCATCAAATCACTAGAAAAATACCATCAAATCACTAGAAAAAACCCATCAAATCACTAGAAAAATCCCATCAAATCACTAGAAAAATCCCATCAAATCACTAGAAAAATCCCATCAAATCACTAGAAAAATCCCATCAAATCACTAGAAAATCCCATGGATTCCCATTAACCGGATCGCCATGGCCGCTGTGGCCTGTCGCATGTCCGCCACCTTGGCACGCAACTTGGGCAGCTCGTCGCAACCCAAGCGTTGCATGCCAGTGGTGAACCTGGGAAGCACCAGTTGGCTTGGGATACGACGAGAGATCTGCTATATATGTACAGATATACATCATGTGCATATATCTACTTACAATATACATATATGTATATACATACAATCTGAATAATATTATATATACACCGTGTATAAAAGATTTTGCTTTGCATTCAAGGGTCCAAAAAGACCCAAGGGTCCAAACTGGGTCCAGCTGATGAATCTCGCGCAAGCCTCGCTCATGTCCTTTTTCTCGCTCACACCCAAGATCATCCAAGTAATGATTTGTCAGGACAAACAAATCAGTGACAAAAGGTCTGCTCAATTATGGGGCATGTTACAATTTGAATTCTCTTTTTTGATCTGTCCTGATCACATTTGCCTGCTTAAATGTATGCAAAATGCAAAATTCGTGGCATCGTCATGTTGCTACTCGAGCTTGGATGCTTTCTGCATCACTGGCCGGGCTGCTCAGCTTCAGCTCGGACACGCTCGGATGTTTTTGCTCCGTGCCCTGGACCTGGACCTGGACGGCCTGTCACGGAGAAACCGCCCGGCTTGCGACAACGGAGAGGGCACGGAGCTGGGGAGCCATGGCTGGCCAGGGGTAACACAACGGGAGAAGAAGAACGGGAAAGTGATGCAAAATGAGAAATGTCACTTTTATAGTTTGTAAACTAGAAAAAGTTGCTTTTGTAACATATTGAAATTGTAAAATTATGCATATTTGCTGAATACTTTGATATTTTTTGAAAAGCAATTTCTATCCAGATTTTTTGTCCACAACCAATCTTAAAACATTCACTGGTTCATTTTCAAGGTATTGGAATGAAATTTAAAAGTGTTTTTAAAAAAAAATATTTTTTGTCAAAATATGTTCAAAAAAAAATCTATCCTTAAATTATGTCCAAAATCAGGTTTAAAACATTCAGTGGATCATGCTCAAGGTATTGGAATGAAATTTTAAATTATTTTTTTTAGATTTTTTTTGGTCGAAATTTGGTTCAAAAATGACATTTCTATCAAAAATATGTCGTGTCTAACCTTAAACCCTACATCCGTTAATAATCATAATGCACAATATGCACATAAGCACGCTATTTCCACACAACGGGGTGTTACAACGGGGAGACACAACGGGAGAAGAACAACGGGGAAAATGATGCAAACTGCGAAATGTCCTTTTGCGAAAAACCGCCATGCCCAAAAATATGTTTTGCGAAAATCTGGTTTCCCCAAGGATGTGTTTGCGAAAATCCTGGATATCCAGGACCGTGGTTTGCGAAAGATCAGGGTCAGATCTTTCTCAAAAGATGTTTTTATCCATGTTTTGCGAAAAACCGCCATGCCCAAAAATATGTTTTGCGAAAATCTGTTTTCCCCAAGGATGTGTTTGCGAAAATCCTGGATATCCAGGACCGTGGTTTGCGAAAGATCAGGGTCAGATCTTTCTCAAAAGATTTGCAATTGTTAAATTATGTGTTGCTACATGTGCGCATATATTGATAAATGAGGAAAACAACATTTTTTTGCGAAAAGTAGGTTTCTCAAGCATGCCGGCCACAAGTCAGTCAGATTAATCGCAAAATGGCAGCTGGATAACATCTATGTTGAACCCCTTGTTTGCGAAGAACCGGGGCCTGGTTCTTCTCAAACAGGCTGCTGATACCTGGGGTGTTTTAAGCAAACCAGGGGCTTGCGCAAAGCAGTGCTAGGGAACAAGCAGTTGTTTGAGAAGAACCAGGCCCTGGTTCTTCGCAAACAAGGGGTTCAACATAGATGTTATCCAGCTGCCATTTTGCGATTAATCTGAGTGACTTGTGGCCGGCATGCTTGAGAAAACCTACTTTTCGCAAAAAAATGTTGCTTTCCTCAACTATCAATATATGCGCACATGTAGCAACAAATAATTTAACAATTGCAAATCTTTTGAGAAAGATCTGACCCTGATCTTTCGCAAACCACGGTCCTGGATATCCAGGATTTTCGCAAACACATCCTCGGGGAAACCAGATTTTCGCAAAACATATTTTTGGGCATGGCGCTTTTTCGCAAAAGGACATTTCGCAGTTTGCATCATTTTCCCCGTTGTTCTTCTCCCGTTGTGTCTCCCCCGTTGTAACACCCCGTTGTGTGGAAATAGCGTGCTTATGTGCATATTGTGCATTATGATTATTAACGGATGTAGGGTTTAAGGTTAGACACGACATATTTTTGATAGAAATGTCATTTTTGAACCAAATTTCGACCAAAAAAAATCTAAAAAAAATATTTAAAATTTCATTCCAATACCTTGAGCATGATCCACTGAATGTTTTAAACCTGATTTTGGACATAATTTAAGGATAGAAATTATTTTTTTGAACATATTTTGACAAAAAAAAATATTTTGAAAAAAAAAACTTTTAAATTTCATTCCAATACCTTGAAAATGAACCAGTGAATGTTTTAAGATTGGTTGTGGACAAAAAATCTGGATAGAAATTACTTTTCAAAAAATATCAAAGTATTCAGCAAATATGCATAATTTTACAATTTCAATATGTTACAAAAGCAACTTTTTCTAGTTTACAAACTATAAAAGTGACATTTCTCATTTTGCATCACTTTCCCGTTCTTCTTCTCCCGTTGTGTTACCCCTGGCCAGCCATGGCTCCCCAGCTCCGTGCCCTCTCCGTTGTCGCAAGCCGGGCGGTTTCTCCGTGACAGGCCGTCCAGGTCCAGGTCCAGGGCACGGAGCAAAAACATCCGAGCGTGTCCGAGCTGAAGCTGAGCAGCCCGGCCAGTGATGCAGAAAGCATCCAAGCTCGAGTAGCAACATGACGATGCCACGAATTTTGCATTTTGCATACATTTAAGCAGGCAAATGTGATCAGGACAGATCAAAAAAGAGAATTCAAATTGTAACATGCCCCATAATTGAGCAGACCTTTTGTCACTGATTTGTTTGTCCTGACAAATCATTACTTGGATGATCTTGGGTGTGAGCGAGAAAAAGGACATGAGCGAGGCTTGCGCGAGATTCATCAGCTGGATCCAGTTTGGACCCTTGGGTCTTTTTGGACCCTTGAATGCAAAGCAAAATCTTTTATATATGTACCGATTGCCCATACACATATATATATAATTATATACATGACCGTATGTGTATAAACATGTTGATATACGTATTACATACATAGAAAATTGTCTGGTGGAAAATTGACTGGAGATGGCATGTCTAATATACTATAATATGTGTACATGTGGGTGATAACTTCTGTGGTATATTGGAGATAGACATATATATATATACAGTATATGCTGGTTGGTGGTTTCAATCTCTCTGAAAAATTTTAGTCAGTTGGGATGAAAAATAAAAAATGTTCCAAACCACCAATCAGTATGTGATTACCCTCTGGTAATTTAACATAGCTATGGAAAATCACCATTTTTAATGGGAAAATCCACTATAAATGACCATTTTCAATAGCTATGTTAGTTTACCAGAGGGTATATATGATGATATATGAAACTATCATGACTCAGACTCGAAGATATGAGGTATCTAAGCAGCTTCTGATATTCCCAGAACTGGATGAAGCTTTCTGAAACAAGACAGACGACTCCACGTGGCCATGGGTATAGTTAGATCAAGCATATGGGTATGTAAACCGTGTAATTGTGGAGGTATACCATGGTATACCACTTCCTGGAATCAGCAATGCAAGATCAATGTCATTGACTGTTTGAAGTATTATCCTTCTGTCATACTTCTTTATGTCCGAACTATTTCTGGAGGTGAGGTTACGCGATTGTACCTTTTTAGAAAATTACCCCATGCTGTGACAGTAACACTGCTACACGGTGGGCCAGCACTAGATGAGTGCTACAAACGATCCTGATTTGGATTATCAAGAAATTCCGAAACTTGGATCCCTCCAATCCTCCAACCACTTTGACTCTTACCCGGAGAAAAGTCTTGAAGCTTTGGCCACCTTGGGGCCCACACTCTTCTCTGGTAAAGATGCCCATCCTTGGAAAGAATGGGGCCCCCCCGTTGGGGTTTTTCAGGTGACTGATGAACGCAAGGTGACGTCCAAAAAGGCCGCCAGCCGCCGAAAAATGTCGGAAAGTGCAAACCAAAGTCTTCCAAAATACCTCACTACTTCAAAATGAAAGAATTATATAACCGATTTGGGAAGAAGCGAGGTGATCAGCTCTGAGTGTGGTGCCCCTGCGACCCTAATCTCAAAGAAATTCTATGTATAACACTGTATGACCTGTATGGCAACCCCCAAAATAGAAACGAGTTTCCAGGATGTTATAGATGATATTTACTTCATATGTCCAGATTTCCCACTCTTCTATCTTTTTTGAGGGTACATGGGTGTACTATAAGAAGTTATCTTTTTCCTCTGGCAATCAACATTGCTTGCAACATGGCAAGGGGAAATCTCTGTGTTTCTTGAAAGGAAGGTAATCTATCATTTTATATATACAATGTGAGGCCCCCAAGATAGCTAAGTTGGTTTATAACTCCAATAACTATGATTTATGGTATTTATAACTATAGTTACTGGGGCTTATGAACCAACTTATATCTTGGGGGCCTCACATTGTATGTATAATTGTCCTTTCAGGGTCCGTGCCAGGTTGGATCTAAATTAATTACCTAAATATGGTTGTAGCCAATCAAAATCCACATTATAGGGGATCATGACATCCCATAGTCCAGTTACAACCAAAAAAAACGACGTGGGAAAAATATGGAAAAATATTGCATCATAGAATCACATATTTCATGACGGGCACAACCCGGTTACTCTCCATCAAGTAGCATTTAATATCCATAAATCTGGCTGAATTATAATCATTCACCAACCCGGACAATTCAGATACTTTGGAGATAATTTCCCTCTTCACCGCAACATACCCTCTGGTAATTTGTTACATAGCTATTGAAAATCACCATTTAGAGTGGATTTTCCCATTGAAAATGGTGGATCTTTCCATAGTTTTTTGTATGTTTACCAGAGGGTACCGTAAACTCAACTGCTCCAAGCCGCTGCTTGGCTCGACAGTGCCAGGCCAGGACCAGCGTCACGGGGTCTAAGGCACTGATCTGCAGATCTTTGCACAGCTCCTTTTTGGGCGAAAAAAAATGGGACTTCGCCATGAAAAAAAAAGTTGATTTCACCATCAAACAATGATTTAGCCATGGAAAACTGGGAAACATACAGTACGGGATTTAACAGAAACATGGTGAAAGACTAGGATTTAATTGTCAAAAAGGCAAAATTTCGTGGGATATGAATGGGATCTCCATCCCAAAAAAATGCTCAGAAACTTGGATCTAATCATGAAAAACTGTGACTTAAGGTGCGGAGATTTGATGACTTAAGGGACATCTATCTATGGGGGTTAAACAATTTGAAAACTTGGGATTTCATGGGATGATGATAAATAGTTGAGAGATGTTGAGAGTAGAGATCCCATTCTTTCTCTATATCCAATTAGGGTTTAACAATTTGGGTGCGATTTACCAACCATAGCCTCATTGTTTTGCTTTGTTTTATGGAACCTCCAAGGAACAGTATGATCTTTGGGTAAAAATCCGGACACGCTGTGTACCAGTACCCTTCAAACTGCCATTTTATGGCTAATTAGTCAATGGATTGGTTCAAGAAAAACAATGGTTGGTGATCTGACAATCATGGGGATATTTCGAAAGGGATATATATATAGGGAGATATTCCAGATATTGATGGGAGTATACTGTAACCAACATTCATGGATTGATTTTGCTCGGGAAAAACTAGGCACAGTGTTGCCCAGATAGGGTCATAAACCCCATCAACTAGTTGGATATATCTACCAAATAAATCCTAATTAAATCTACTTCACCTACATGGCTAAGCCAACTTAGCTAACTCTATAGGGGCACCACTTTGGAAGCGCTTGGTTTTTCCACCCAATGAGGATATGTGATGATATGGATTATCCAGAACATGCAATATAGGTTAACCAATGTATACATATATGATATATTAGCCTGAATAAGAATATTAACCATATCTATATTTCATTAAATTCAATAACTCATAGTATAATGATCACTGCATAAAGAATGGAATTTCCTACAACCCATTGGTTAATCCGGGCTTTGGACCTACAAATTGTTGGAGACCTGTGAAACCCTGGAAAAGCCATGAAAAGTGACTATGTTTACCCACCTTTGGAAAGATTCTTGCAGAATTCAAGCCGTAACACTGCAAGAAATTCAGGGGCTCTTCTGAAACGCGTCAACCCACTTTTTCATGAATCTGACTGTTTTTCTGCGACTCCCAAGCCTCAATACCCTCCGGTCTAATGGTCTGGTCCTGGCAGGCTTGGACCGAGGACCGTAGTATGATATACTATATAGAACTATTGATTAATAATGTACTCGTTAATTTAATGAGTATGTATATTAAAATAGAGTATGATATATCACTCAGTTAGTTAATGACGAGAATATAACATAATATAACTGGGTATAATGGAATAGTCCTGGGCCATTGATTATCAATAAATAATGGAATATAATTTCGATTTGTGGTGGGTACCATTCCATGGATTGATTTACGGAACCCCCCCATTCATAGATTCGCCTAAAAGTTGGAGGAAACATCATCGAACCAACATCCTGGAAAGACGGGCCTCGGCATTTTTGAACCGCTGTAAAGGAATATCAAAGGACCATGGAATGTCAGTGGGATTGGCTAAGAAACATGGTTCTTGTACCTGCTGTCATCAAACAGTTCCTTCGAAATCCCCAAACTAAATGGATACTTTGATGGGAAAATCATGGACAATCCACTATTCCCATAGGATCCATGTATGGTATATATGCTAACATTGGGGGTATATTGATGGTAAATGTTACCATATATAGCATACATGAATCCTATGGATTTTAATGGGAACAACTCCATCTATAGATGGTGGTAATGGATTAAGTCGTAGGATTACCCGGTAGAAAACCATGGTGCCAGCGAGAAGCCAACGGCGTAGCGAAAAAGGCTCGTTGTGGGATCGTTCTCATTTACCCTAAAAATGAATCAGGATGATGATCTGCGAATTTTACAGCTCACCTTATATATATAATATATACATAAAGATAGATCCCCCGCAAAAATAAAAGTTACAGTAAAAGTAAGCCAACGTTTACCTAACCTATCACGGTGTCGCCAGGTTGCAGTTCCTCCAGTTCCAGAGCACCCAGCCTCCGACGAAGCATACTTCATGAACAAGGCTTCCAGTTTCCTTCAGTGCCGATGACCCATGGCCGTGCGATTTGCGTGGCTCAGATTGGAGGTGCGTGACATATGTGTTTTGCCACCTCAAATGGCGCCTGTTGTTGAGGAAATATCGGAATCTCTCTTCCAGTCTATGGACTTACACGGCACAGTGATCCTACATACCATATGTATCCATAAGTATATAAATATTGAATAATATTGATGAGCAGAGTTGGTTTAAGAGGTAAATACAGTGCCTTAATCGTTTCATGCCACATAAGGGGTTCACACCTTTGGGTTTGGAACATGGGGATGAGGATTGGGGTTTACAGTTGTTGGGGGTTTGGGGGTTAGGGTTAGGTGAGGGTACGGGGATTTGGGTGAGGTTTTTTTGGGTTAGGTTTTACTGTATGAACATGATATTTGTTTAACCGCTCGAATGAACTATCCTGGTGTTGTTATATATATAGATATATAAATGATATAGGCATATATATATATACGTATAATTATGTATACATTAAACATATCAGATTGGTGGTTTCAACTAATCCCAAGAATTCCATGGCAATAGAACATATTCATTTATAGATGACTTTGCCATTAACATGACTTATAAAGGATGCAACGGCGAATCTCAATCATAGCAATTATATTATATAATGTCTATGAATATATAATCACTTATAATTAATGAATAATAATGAATATATGTACATAACGATGCACATGATTGTTTAAGTCAAGGTGCTTGGCGTCCAGATGCTCTTGCTGCACGCCACAGGAGTGGCCTTCCTGGAAGAAGACGTCCTGGGTTCCGGTCATATCGGGCGTCGCGGTTTAAGGAACGGATCTCTGGCAGAAACCATCAAAAAATGGCATTTAACCAGCCAAGTCTGTGCAAAAAATGGGATGTAATCAGAATCATCAAAGATCCTGAATAATACATAAAGATCGTGATTTAACCAGCAAGGAATGGGATGTCACCTCAAAGATGATCTGGGATGTCTCCCGTTCCTGAGTATATTCCTTGTAACAACATGTAACAACTCATTTGAATAGACGATTATCGAAAAAAAATGGGATGCAACCGATGCAACCGATGCAACCGATGCAACCGATGCAACCGATGCAACCGATGCAACCGATGCAACCGATGCAACCGATGCAACCGATGCAAGCGATGCAACCGATGCAACCATCAAAAATATTGACCGTGAATAGACACAGTCTGTCGCTTTCACCGGGGAGAAGGCCTAAAGATGGAGGATTCAACAAGTCAATGGCCATGCAGGAACCGATTGATTGGAGGTACCTACCATATATTTTTGACCTATTTTTTAGGGAATATCCCCACAAAATATGGCCAAACATATGGTACAGTAGCTCCATTTTAGGATCCTGAAATTCCCACTGAACAAGCGAAACATGATATTTTAACTATTGGAACTTCGCAAAGAGAAAACAGAGACCGACTCCCAGCCCAAGTGGTAGACTGGTAGACCAAATCTTGGCAGGAAGATGGCCCGACTGCCCGACTGCCCGACTGCACATTCAACTTAACTTCTTTAAGCTGGGCACAAGAAATGTTACTCTTTTCCTCACATGTCACAATCACAGATAATCACAGTAATTTATATATATATGTGTGTGTTTATTCAGATTAGATCATATGTATTGCATGTGTATATATATATATCAATATAATCTGATATCACAATCACTTGCAGTAATTTATGATTGCATGTGTCATATATGTCTGCTGCAAGTTGCTGGGTGAAGTTCTGCAGATTGACCCACTGACCTACCATTCCCCACGGGTGGCCACCCAGTTTTCTGACTGGGGACATATTAAAAACCATAATTCCCGAAAACATGGTGGCTACCCTCTGGTGTCATCAAAGATGGCCGGCTGGAAAATCTCCTACAAGTGGAAGTCTCAAGCTGGAGTAAAGGATTTTCCAGCAGGCCATGTTTGATTACCAGAGGCTAATTCATGGCTTTACCACGTTACTTGATTAGTAAATCGCTTGATAAAATTGCTCCACCCTCCTGTGATCCAGTCTTGGGAGGTCACTAATATTATATATACCATTTTTCTTTGGCAAATCTCCAAAAGAAGATTATCATATTATGTATATTATGTATATATATATATGTATATATTGCATACATCATAAATATCTACAGTAATACATATCAGGGTGCATAGCGGTTTGGATATTCTCACCTTCCCACAATCGTGAGGCCCTTAATTCATGCCCTCCCTGCATCCCAGCATCGAGTGCTTGGTCAAGTGACCAGTTCAGACCTGTCCAGTAGGGTTGTTCCCAACACCCCAGGGCCCCGTTTGGGGCTAAACTGGGTAGATAAAGAGGTACCCGAAATGGTCAACGGGCGTTTACATAACGAACTGGAAAATCATCATGCTATTAGTGGGTAAATCCAATATAAATGACCATTTTCAATAGCTATGTAACAAATTAGATAAAGAGGGTAAAATCACAAATGTTTCCCCGTCTGGTGGCTATCATTTACCTAGGAGCAATCCCGATGTCTAGTCTCACACCACGCCGGACCGGATGCTTGTTCATCTCTCCCATCAATTTGCATACTGGATTGGCCGGCCCGACAGCACCAATCAAAATACTGCACAGGTGTACCATGGAAAATTATATATTCATGTTATCTATTAGACGCACCGTTTTCAACGCCTATGTTAGATATGAATAGATATGATATGTTAGATTACCAGAGGGTATGTCAGAACATTTTGAGCACCAAAAAAAAACTGGTGAAACCAGTGGTTTTCCATCAAACAGACCCCTGGCCAGGAGGGTTTGGCCAATCTTTTCAAGGCTCTGAGGCAGGAAGGGTCCACATGTCTGAGTTTTATCTGAGTCTCCTCACGTCGAAGAAATTCCTGAGCTGTTGCTGAGCTCTGGGATATTTTTCAATGAGATTCCTCAAACCAAAACCGGAAGCTGGAAGAGAACAACTAAGAAAAGATAGTTGGTGGTTGATCCAACCTATAGAAAACAGAAGGGATGTTTTTGTTTCTTTTTGCATAGGGAAGGTTGAAGATACTGCCCGCTCTCTAGGGAAAAATGCTGCTCACTCGGGGATCAACATCATGTCCTTATAGCGGCATGGAAAAGAAACAGGAAGGATGTCAAACCACCAAGCAAATAGACATGTGACCCTGGAACTCTGGATATCACTGGAGATCAACAGCACAGAACGCCCATTCGAATATGCTGAGCCGCTCGTAGGTTTGCCTGCTTTTTCACAGGGTACCCCCAAAATCCACCAAGCAAATCCAGTGGCTAATGCCACATGTTCCCCTTTTTAAGATCGCGTTTCGGGATCTCCCATTTCTAGACAAACCCTCTGGTTGGTTGAAAACGCTTTCCTCCTATGGCCTAGTCGATCATCATCCCCATTGAAGCATGTAAAAGAATGCCCCAAGCAATCAACCATCAATTATCAACAACCAATCCAACATGTAAGTGATGGCTATAACATGTTATAACTTATAAACTCTATAAGATCTTTTAAAAAATGATCATTAAATCCCATCAACAGTGCGATTTTAACCAATCAACACAATTCATCTAATTAACGCCAGGCGTCCATCGCAAGTCTCTGCGGTGCACCCGTCACCTGTGTCCCACGCATGGGGAAGATGTATAAAACATATGGGGAAATAAATAAATAAATATATATATATGTATACATAATTATCATTATACATACTTGTTCGGGAAATACATCTTGGGGGAATTGGTGATTTTTTGGAAAGCATATTGGGGATGTCTCAAAATAGGGATGCCCCAAGGCCTTGTATATCATTATTGAAACATGTAAAGTTGGGGGAAAATCCATTTTGAGACATACCCATATAACCTCATATAACCCACAAAAAGATGGAAAAGCAAAATCCTACTAGAGGCAAATCAGTCTTCGATTTTAGACCGTGCGCAGCAAGGGTGTGACACTAAAATATTTCTAGTTATAAGCCCTCTTGGAGAATCATCCCACGGATCAGAACTAGCCCAGTTATGTGGGAAACTTTTTTTGTTTATAGCCCAGTTATGAATGGGAGAATCCTAGTTCTAGGTGACTTACGATCACCAGGGTTACTAACCAGTAACTAGGATGATTCTCCTTACCCTACTGGATCAACTTGGCCTGGAAGCCACTTTGTAAACGCCAGTTGAGCGGTGTTCCCCAAATGTCGTTCCTAAGCGTACTGCTTGGTTGAGATTGGGATTGTCATGGCATTGTGATAGTAATATTCCCCATTCTGTATAAAGGTGAGTATAATCCACCAACTAAGAAAATCAACCAACCATCCATTCATCAAGTATGTCTGTATCCCATAAGTTTGATGCTGAAATTCACTGTAAATGATGAGGATAAATCCCCATTAAATCACTACAACCAACCATCACTTATATTATGTTATATCCAGTTGTACGGTATCATTATATATATACCAACAATTAGTTTGATGATTCAAGCCCACATGACATAAATCATCATAATCAACAACAACATAACCACCATAAATCACCGTAAATCACCATAAATCACAATAAATCACCATAGTTTGTGCAGCCGCAGCCGCACCTGCTGGAAGTTCTGAAGCTTTTCCCGTTGGCTTCGGTTCAGCGCAGCCACGCTGGACCTGGGTGCGCTAGCAAAACGGAGGGCGTTGACCAAGAAAAACGTGGATAAGGTGAATTCTAGGGGTTGTGGTAGATTATATGGTGGTGAATGGGGTGTACCAACAATTGAACATGATGTTTCCTATGGGAAAATCATTATCTATGATATATACATATATGTTCATGGTGAACAGGGTGTACCAACCAAATTTGAGTGGGGGGCACCATCTTGCAACGCAGGGATTTTTTTTAAGAACGTAGGTGATCGTAGGGGCATCACCAAGAACATTGGGAGACACTTTGCAACAAAATCTAACAAAACAAACATGAAGTGGTTTTTGATGGTTTTCGTACTTTCTGGCACACAGTTAAAAGCCACCAACCTCAAACATATATATATATATATATATATAATTATACATAATTATATATGTATGTTATATATTCATAATATCTGTACATTACTAAAATATACTAAAATCCCCATGTATCCCAAATGATATTTCACCAACCTCAGTCTCACCAAAGCCCCGAGCTCGCTCCAGATTGCTTGCACCATAGGCTTCGGCGCGCTCAGAACATCGACTTACGACTCGCCAAAGAAGGTAAACACAATAATAAACTAAAGCATCCCATTAAGCAACCATATAGGGGGTTGCAACTTCGGCATGAACCCCCTTGTTTATTGGATAATTTATATATATATAATACATTCATATAAATATAGGGTTGGTAAAGCAATAGCGAACATTAACCATTTTAATGGGTGGTATACCCAATCAACCCATACGGTTTGTTTATGACATTGTTTTACTGACATGATCTACAAAAATTATTTTGGGCCTTACAACTTAGGGATAGACATGTGTTCCCATTGAAAAAACCATTTCCCCATATTTTCCTATGATTTGCCTTGAAAATCCTTGAAACACTGGGCTTGCGGACATGGCCAGGGTTAGGCACCCGCTGGGACCGAGGACCCCCCGGGACCGCCCCCCAGCGCCAGGAGCACTGGGGAAGTCTTGAACCAACTGCGACCAAGGTTTGCTCCTACAGCAAGGGCCTTCCAGTTGTGTTTGTTTTACAGTATAACCCCATTCATTTATTTTGTTTATTGATTTTTTTTATTTTTACAAACAAACAAACATACATACATACATGCATTGCATTGCATTGCATTACATTGCACTGCACTACATTACATTATTACATTTCATTACATTAAATTACATTACATTAAATTACATTACATTTACATTACATTTACATTACATTAAATTACATTACATTGCATTGCATTGCATTACATTGCATTGCACTGCGCTGCACTACACTACATTACATTATTACATTACATTACATTACATTAAATTACATTGCATTGCATTACATTGCATTACATTGCATTGCATTACATATGTATATGTAGGTGTGTATATATATATACTTAAATCTCTATATATATATATGTATATGTATATGTATAATTTAGATGAGGTTACAAACCAACGATATATCATATCCACCACAAATCCTAGCTATTGACAGTTATTGTACTATCAACCAACTTAAGTATCTAGGTGGGTCCTTCCTGTGCCTGGCGGTTCAACAGGCCTGAAGCATCGGTTGCTCAGTAGGAAAGAAAAAAAAATGATTGAAACCTTTAATCCGCGCTTTGAAAAGTTTGGCACTGTTTCCCTGCGGATTTGTGGGGTCAAAATCTTTATTTATGCAGGCATATGCAGGCGAGTGATGTTATTTCTGGTGGATGTGGGGCGTGACATTGCATCGAGCATCGATGCATTGTGGATGGTAAAGATGGGTCTGCTAGCAGCACTTATAGGATCTCTTTCGTGTCTTTCAAATAACTACCGTCAATGGAACATCCACCATTGAGAGCGGTGTTCCTATTCAACCTCCCTTTTTTTCAATTTTCCATTACCATGTGGGGATGGGTCAAAACCCTGGTACCTAGTGAACCCCAAAATAGCTGGTAAATGGATGTTCATCCCACTAAAAATGTATCTATAGGTATTGACCCATACCCATGTGTCATTCCTAGGGGGTATCCAAAATTTGAATGATCGGGTCCCAATTATTGCATCACCCAGAATCCAACATGCATACCCCAAAAACTGTGCAGAATGAACATGTTCATTTTAATGATAGCACCCATCAATACTCATCATAGAATCATAGAAAGGATGGTATAATAACATCAATAAACATGACCTCATTAATATACAGTAATACCAGCCTAAAGTACGCCAATAATGGCAACCCAGGATTATGAAACCCTGGTTGGTTAATCAGGGTACAAATACCACCAAATAATGATAAGTTGCTACTAAAATGATAACCCCACCCCAAATGATGAACAGCCCATGGGGTGAATAAAAATCCGCGGTTGACAGTAAATCCCAATCGGAATCGGTGGTTACACATCAACCATGAAAACAATTGGTATGGTTATCTACTCCCACTCTATACCCAAAAATGCCTCTTGTAGTGCTTAAAGAGAATAGTTTCACAACACCATTGGTTACGCAATATCGTTTACAACGCAATATCGTTTACAAGAAAATATCAAGACTCCGGTTATGTAATGTAATAAAAATGTTATTAATATATGTGTGTTTCCCCATGATGTCCCCAGTTGAATGAAGATAGAAGGAACGCGCACCTCCCTTCCTCGGTGGCCAGGCTGGAGGCTGGTACCTGCGAGGGGTTCCACGCAACGATTTTCCAAAATCGACCCATGGACATTATTTTTTGGGGGATGTGATTTTAAATAAATGTTACTATATATACCATATATTAATGTATATCTCATATATATATATATGTATATATATAAATGCCATATTTGCGTATATGTTATGTATGTATGTATGTATGTATGTATGTATGTATGTATGTATGTATGTATGTATGTATGTATGTATGTATGTATGTATGTATGTATGTATGTATGTATGTATGTATGTATGTATGTATGTATGTATGTATGTATGTATGTATGTATGTATGTATATATATATGCAATATAAAAGGAAAACCACAAAAAACATTGTTGCCAATATAGATCTTGGACTGGCACGACTATGTATCTTGTGTCAGCGCCAAGCGTCATGGCAAAACTAGGAGCGAAAAACTATCTGTTGTGCCTGCCGACCTCTGGGAGGGTTGAGCAATTTTTCGGTCTCCCAACCACTGGAGAGTACAATCTCGAACTTTGGGGGTCCTAATTGAATCATCTGAATAGTATTGAGTGTAGAGGTGTAGAGCATTCAAAATCCAGCCAACTCTTGGAACTCTTCCGGACCCTTCCCTGGAACCTTTTTGGATCAGCACGACTCAATTTGCAAAAAAAAGTGAGATAACATGGGTTTTCGTGCTCTGGGTCAAGCCAAAATTCATTCCCCACCAGGAAAGTCATGGCATTTCTGCTACAAAAAAAAACGCCAGGCGGTATGATGGGAAACTGCCAGGCGGTGCGGCGGCTGCCATCGCGCACCTCCAGTACCCGCATCTTTGGACCTGGCAAGTGACAAAGCCTGAAACAAAGAGTTGAAGATATGTCAATTTATCAAGTTTGATGATCGGTTCATAGGGCTATTGGCTATTATTGGCTGGTGTATTTATCCAAATACTTCGATTGACTCATATATCTCATATGGATAGTAGTTGGGGACACCAGAAGATGCTGGCTAACTCACCCGCATCAAAAATCTCCGCTCTCAGCTGACTTCAGCTTGAAGATATGCTGAGAATATGGTCGAGGTAGTCTGTTTCAGAAGACAATTCAAAGTGGGAAACGGGACTTGGTGCTTTGGCCAACCCGAAAAGAGTTCATCCATCAGATGAATCCATCATCATCCCCTGTCGGGAAACGAAGATGCGCCTGGCTTATCCCCTTCCATGGATGCCTGGCCGTTGGATGCTGAATATGGGTTGGTCATGGTTTGTCTGAAAACGTTAGGTATCCAAATTTGCTGGTCAATCAAGGTTAATCATCAGGTGTTCCCGATTTGTTTCTAACAAGAATGGCCATCAATTGGGCATGATGTGCCTGTGAGCTTGGTCCAATGTGGTTTCTGCATGGAACCTGAGGGTGTGCCCCACTTCTTTTGTTCCCGGATAGTCCTACTCAAAAACAAAAAAAATCAGTGGAATGCAATCACTAAGCCCGTCTGGGGTTCCTAAAATGGAGGTATCCCAAGTCACCATGCTTGTTTCAATACTAATTCATGGTCGCGCATACCCTCTGGTAAATGTTTACATAGCTATGGAAAATCACCATGTTGAATGGGTAAATGGGTAAATCCACTATAAATAGCAATTTTCAATAGCTATGTGGCTATGGGTCAAAACCCTGGTACCTAGTGAACCTTCAAATAGCTAGTAAATAGATCTCCATCCCACTCAAATTGATAGCAATAGGTTTTGACCCACCCCCATGTTAGTTTACCAGAGGGCAACTTGGATGCGCAATGGGGCTACCCCGACTCCGAAAACCACCGGCCCATGCCTCGCTGATTTCTTCCTCCGCATGGATGATGTAGGACTGTGGCGCGGCCAGGAAAACAAACGAAAAACCCATGGTAAAATGCATCAAGATGATGCACAATGCACTATATATGTGGGTTTCTCTGAAAATGAAGTAACCCATAGTAACCCCAAATCCTATGGTTTTAAAAAATCATGTTCACTATGGCCATTTTTGTGGATAGAGCTCATTTTCAGACACACCCATCTTCATCGATGGTTGGTGTTCATCACTTTCGCCAACCAGTACAAGTGATACATCGATCACCCCGGGTTGGTGGACTTAGTCAATTTACATGCGATAGTCATTGGGCAATCCAAACATCCCACAATCACAAATGAGATTCCCCGCTTCATGACTGTATTCGCCCTATGAAAATCGTTGGATGATCATCCCCTTTTTACGATAATGGCAAACTAAACCATGTTTTGAGCACTGCATGCTGAAAGACAAACGAACCCTTGCTCTATCTTGCTCGTCCTGTCCTTGAGGATCATCAAAATCGGCGATATTGGCCTTTCCCTTACTCACCATCATTTAATCGACAATTACTGGCGTTTAAAACCATTGTTAACCATGTATTAATCACTGTTAACTATTGGCCACTATTAACCATTATCAGCCATCATTTACCATTATTAACCACTACACTAACCATCATTAACCATCACTGTTCCCCAGCTGCAGCCGTAGCCTCTATCGGATGTCCACCGGTACTTGGCGACTTGAACCTCGGAATTCTGGGGCGACAGATCTGACAGATCTGACAGGAAAAATGGGATTATGTACATATAAATTATACATAAATATATGGTATAATGGGATGTTTTAATGGTGATTATATATATATAAAATGGGATGTCTTAATGGTGATTTCCGGGGGATTTACTGGAAAAAATTATCTACTGGTTGGTGGTGTCAAACTACCCCTCTGAAAAATATGAGTGAAAGTCTGTTGGGATAATGACATTCCCCATATGATGGGAAAAATAAAAAATGTTCCAAACCACTAACCAGTATATATATATATAAATAAATGAATAAATAAATAAATGAATAAATATGATGGCAAACCCTTAAAAATCAAAGGGATGAAAAACCGAAAAATGACCTCCAAACCTTGGACACTATTGGGACTAACCCTTAAAATCATTGGCTATGGGGATTGAAGCAAGACTTTAGATGAGGGTACCCATCTTAAATGGCTATTAATCATTCCATAAGGGATTGAATCCCCATAATAGGATACCATAATAGCCATAATTACCATAATAGCCATAATGATGTTTCAATCCCTTCCCCCAGATTAGGTCTAATACCCCGCGTTTCGCCGCGGATGGAATGCTCTGGATCTATGAATTGAGGGCAGAATTGGTGAACTACCCTCTGGTAAACTAACATAACTATGGAAAATGGCCATTTATAGTGAGTTTTCCCATAAAAAATAGTGATTTTCCATAGCTATGTTAGTCATTACCAGA